CTGCCGCAGATTTTGAGATACCAGGGTCGGGAAGAGGCAGTTAAACTTGTCTTTTCACAGTCTTAAAAGCGGAAGAGCCCCCTTCTCGTAGCCCTCGCATGAGAGGCAGAAGGACGTACTCGGTATCTGTAGATCCTTTAAGCTCCAAAATCCCGTGTATTTCTGCATCGAGCTCAACTCCCGCAAGAGGAATATCCAAATGGCATCGCTGATGAAATTAGTCTTGTGAAATCACTACATTTTCCTTGGAAGCACCGCAGAATATCGTGTGAGTAAAGGTACCGTAGACACGTCGATGGCATCCTGTGTGCCCAATCATCTATAATTGATATCGGTTTCCACACTTACTCCATCGCGTTGTCAATCTGCTGCATCGAATCTCTATCAAGTAAGAGCAGTGCGTAGTGCAAAATATGTCGGTAAAGAGGGGGCAAATAGATGAGGCAAACGCAACAGTGCTTCTGTCTTTTTCGTTTTAAGGTGATGAGCGATGCGTTGTGGCGCATTCTACAACTTAGTCGGTGCGATCGTATACATCGAAAATGTTACTTCCAGCAATCAGCAGCCTAAACGTAATACCGGCTTAACGCAAGCCCTTATGACAAGAAGTAACTATGTGACCTCAATGCATGTACTGGTCTATAGAACAGGATGCAAAATGCTCCTTCAATTGTAGATTGCTGTTTCAGGGAAAATCTTAGTCTCCGCAAGTTATCGTCCTCAAGCTTTTGCCAGCAACGATCACACTCTTGGTGTTTTAGTGCATTAACGACTGTCCTCCATACTCGCACAACCTCCCCCATTTACATTTCACATCAAATTCGACACTTTCATCTCATCTGGTATTATTGTGGTCAATTCGGTTGACTTTCACGGTCCGCTGGATTTTTTTTGCAATCCGTAACGATCTTATTTTGATGTACCACGCGCAAAGTACGATCTTCGTAAATGGATGAGACTAAACTTCCTCCGTAGCCGAAATAAGTGCCTTTATGTGGTCTAGAATCACCACCTCAGAAGCACTGTCGCAAAGAATTTGATTGACCTCTCTACTTGCCCATAACTAATCTTCTAGCTGTTTCCAGGCAAAAAACACAAATGAGGATTAAAAATGTTTGGTATGTGGCCGTAAGATAAACGACGCGCACGAACGGTATTCTGTACTTGTTCTTATTGCATGTGCAATCATTTAAAAGTATTTTACCATGTTCGCTGCACAATTACCGTGTAAGCTTCATGATTGGCTCGTCTAAAGTTTTTAGCGTAGCTCAGTTGTGAATGTCTAGTTAAAAGCTGACACAACAGGTTCGTACTTCAAATTTCACATTAGAGTTTACCTTGCAATCATACCGTGTCTCTGTTTCCACTTCTACTATTCGATGATGCTGTACACGTCCACACAGGTATCTGGAAATTCATTAGAAAGGACTTTTAAACTAGATTCCAATATGCACCGACATCGTGAAGCTTTGAAATTTGATCCACAGCGAAATCCGTTCTATGCACCCGACGAGCAGAAGGGATTACTACCATTTCCTCGTTTGTGTTGCGGCACACATGTCAATCGTGGATTTAATGGACGGTCTCCATGGTCCACTAATAATTTGAATTAAATACAGACTAAAGTACAACCCACTCTTTTTGTCTCTCTTTGTCGGAGAGCTAGTTATCCAGATGGTCGAGTGAAATGGAGTCCTTCCTGCGCTCAGCGCATCCACATGGTCCACTTAGCTGGAGCATGACTTCATTCAGCCGACCTTAGTCTAACAGTCAAAAAGCCATTTTCTCATGCATACGCGTGAGAAGCTTCCTCTGCCAGCGTTAAGTCGTCATAAGCTTGCTGGAAGGGTGTTAGATGTAGACCAAATGATGTCAATCATTTTGTGGCACAAGGGGTTTGTTTTTAAAATTAGTCCGTGGAAGCAAGGATGTCAAATAATCGTGAAGCGGCTGCTGTGTTGTAGGTATAAAGAGAGTTGTACGCACATTTTATATTTTTGGAGGCGGTTCACAATCGTGTAGGCTATCTACTTAGTTTGCGGCTATCCACTTGTCATTAGGCGAGTTGCTACTTTTTTTAAGGACCCCCCCCAAAATCTCGTCACATAACTTAGTCGCGCGTCGATGCCACGTCATCACGCGTAGCACATTTGTTCCATTTCTGTTTGTAAAGCTTCGCTGTCGCCTCGATATCGCGCGCTTTAGTCCATCAAATACAATCCCGAATATTTCGCGCTCTTTAATCCTTACGACACATTATGCGCGACAGCACAGGCGCGAGATACACTTCATCAGCGCCATTTCTTGCTAATTTCCTATATCCATCACGGTCAGCACCACGCTAACGAAACGCGACAAGTATATGGCCCCATAATCAGCAATAACTACTCGTGTTCACATTCCCACACACCTTTTAGCAGGACTACGTCATCGTCAAAGCTACAGTTGGATCTGTCGTACAGGATCCAGACGTTATTTTTGGTCACTGGTGTAACCGCTACAGTGTTAGGGTCCCGTTTTACCACAGCATGAACTCACTGTGCTAGTGCCTTCGCCTATCGCGAGCACAATGTTTTAACCGCTCTTTCCTCATCGTCATCCGTCTAAATCACAAGCCTATGTTTTGGAACCATCGGCTTTGACGCGTCCTACGTAGCCACATACATTTAACAAGGGCGATTCTCCTTGCTCGACGCTGACTGTTCCAATTGTGCAAAATAATTAAATTAAATAACGTTTTTTAAGATTAATCTCTCAACTGAATGCACCAATTTTGCTTATTCCTCAGCAGGCACAAGAAGTCAAAGAAATGCGTAGGATTCTTCATTGTCGGTATCCTCGCTCATTAGGAAGATAAGATCGCACGATGTTGTATCGATTTTACTGCTCGGCACAGCCGGCCAGATCGTTAGCTGTGAAAAGGTTAAGTTTGTTCTCTGGCTACAACCGCTTGCTCTCTATGTTCGTCTTGAACAGCCTAATCGCTTTAAATGATGAATAACGATCGTCTTCAATGTGTCGAGCACGCGCTCCATCAAGTACTTTAATAATTCCGCCATGTGTCAACCTGCTAAGAGATGTACCAGCCGATAATTTTGTTATTGACGCTCTGTTCAAACAGAAAGCTGCACGACCCCTCGCCATATTAAAAGTCCGCATAGAATTCTTACCTTAGTCGAAGAATCTCGACATGAGTCGAGAGTTAGCTTTGACCGTCGTACTTCCACGTAAAGATCTTGCACGAACTTTTAGTGACTACAAGGATCTAATTAGGCGTATACGATAGCAACGGCGCAGCTAGTAAAGATTTCGGCTGTAGCAAAGTCTTACAGGTCAGTATCTTGGCTGACGGCTCATGTGGATGCTATACGCACTGCTTTGAATTTTTATGATCAATTTAATAGCGAGTCGACTGCTAACTTCTCAAATCATACCAGTTGAGCTTTTCACGGTGCAGCTTATCCGCATTGTAGGTTTTATGTAACGGGGCACCCTGAAGCTTGTACTGGTGACAGTACAAGCTACTTATTCTGATGACAAAATGAGGCGGTACCTCGTAACTTCACGTACACTGGTACGTGCAGAGGAAGACGGTAAGAAGAAGCGAGTACTTGGTTAAAGTAAAAAGTAGAACTGTATTTAGTATAGTTAATATCTGTTAATAAACCACTGTTTATCCTCATCTAACTATGTCTAAATACAAATGTGTATGTCAAATATCTGCTCACCACTCATTGCGTGCGTCTGTCGTGGTGCGCCGTCGTTGGTTGATATAGTGGCCTATATCAACCAATTAGGAACTACTCGAAAGCGCTGCAGAATATTTGTCCTTATGACAACACTCTGAGAATATAACTCTTATAGTTATATTCTATTAACAATTTCTTTTAAATTGTTATGTAACAGTTCACCCCGTTACATCACCCTTCCTTAACCATCAGTCACTTTAGTGACTGATTGACTAAATGGATACTCGTCCCAAATCATTTGGGACAGGGTTTGCACTTGTTGGTCCGAGTCCACTTTCAAACATTTCATCGCATGGTAAACAAGCCCATTCGGTGCGCGAGCAAGGCCACTGAGAGCGCGTCCGCACGTCTCTGTGCGGACGCCGAAGCAGAAACCGCAGCAACTGATGTCTCATCGGTTGCTCAAGCGACTCAGCCTGTGTCACTTGGTGATGCAGGCGCTTGTCATGAAGACACTCATGTCTTCACAGAGTATGAGCTCGGTGTCTCATACTCTCCTGATACGGAAGAGGGATCTGTATCGAAGGCGGTTGAAACCAAGCCTCCTGCCAAACGTGGCATGGATGATGCTACGCGTCGTAGAATCTTTGGTTCATCTGACGAATCCGATGAACCATCGCCGAAGCGAAGGCGCTCGAGGTCGCGAGACTCGGGCGCTAACAGTGGTGTCGGTTCTCCTATGGACACCACTTCACAGCGAGGTGCCAGTACTTCTGTCGGCACGTCGCAAGAAGAGCGGGACCGCAATGTCTTGCGTCTCGCTCTCGAAAAGAAGGCATGGATGCCTCCAAAATCAGTCATGGATCACTTGTCGGCGACAGCAAGTGATCGCTATCGAACACGATTGTTCGATTCATCAAGAATCCATCACCTTGACCCCAGTGCGAAAAACTATCGCGCTGATAATGACTTCTTCGTCGATGCTTTCTTTAAGCATCGATGGTACAGTGGGAATCACAAAAAAAACGTGATGGTCGCTCACTGCTTCAAGCGTGGAACGCCTACATCCATAACCTTGAGGATGTAGGTCGTGACGCTTGGAACGACAAACTTATCAAAGCTCGTGATAAGTTTAAAAAGCGAACCCCGACAGGTGCACGCTACAAGCTGCATCGTCTGTCAAGGGGGAAAGGATTACCCTGCCTCTCTTGTGGAGACTCGTGCCCATGTTGTGTGAACAACTCTGCACGAGCACCTAAGGAGGCTTACCTCCTTACTAGCCCGTAGTGGCGCGTATGTATCTCTACTGAGATGTACGAAGGGATTGACAACCTGAAATCCCTTTGCGACCGTGCCGGGAAGGCTTTCTCCGGCGGTCCTTCTGCGGCACAGGATGTGCCGCGTCGTACTGCTCAACCAGACCCAGTACGTCGATCATCAGTTGGGAGCGGGGCTCCCAAGAATCCCAGGACGGGGGATAGCCGCGCCATCGGACGAGATAACTCGTCCGACGTCCGTTCACGTCGCGGTGGTTCAACAGCTGCTCAACTAGATAGCGCTGGCCACCGCGAGAGTCCTCTAATGGAGGTGGAGGAGGAGAAAAGACGCTCTCCACGCGATCATGGGGATCGGTGTGTTCCTGAGAGCTTCTTTGATCGCGTAACGCAAGGGTTACGCGACGATCTCGAACATGAGCGGAATAGGCGTCTCCAAATGGCGGACACTGCCTCGAAGCATCGAGCTGAGTTTGCCTTTGCTCAGCTCGAGAACGAGAGATCTCTGACATCTCTTCGTGACGAGCTAAGGGTAGCTCGTGGGATTGTTGATCGGTCTCGGGCTGAGATAACTGCTCTTCAGACCCTTGTTGATGCCCACCATCGGGAGCACAAGGCTCTCTGCGAGATGCTTGAGCGCAAGGGCGTTCTTCATCGGAAGAAGCAGCGTACTGATGGTACGGCTTAAGCCGACCAACGTAAAACGTGGGATGCGTTCGCATCTTACGTGGTAACTCGATCGTGTATGCATTGCCTAGGCGGTGCATTACACGAAATGGGCCAATGTACTTGGGTAGTAGTTTACTGCTACCCAAGTTAGTCACTACATGCTTTGGTAGATTAACCGTAGACAGTAGGACTAAGTCACCTTTATTAAATAAAAGAGTGCCTGTCCTTCCATTCTTGTCAGCGTTTTGCTTTTGCTTATCCACCGCTTCGTCGATGAAGTCTTGCACAAAACGGACTACCGTTTCACGAGCCAGTATGAACTCATCTGATGACTCGTTAGCTTCAGTGTGCTGTGAGCGCACTGCAGCAACATCAACCTTTTCTTCAGTGAGGGCTTCCGCACTCTCACTGGCATCATCTTCTTCAGTGAGGGCTTCCGCACTCTCACTGGCATCATCTTCTTTGATATCGATGTTATCGATATCGGCATCAAACGCAATGACTTCCTCGTCAGAGCGTGATGAGCGTGAACCAATTCGGTTTTTGCTCGCGCGAGTCCCTCCCCCCCTTAAACCAGAGTTACACTCTAGTAAGGTGGGTACACGCGGATGGCGTAAGCCATTCACGTAAAACGGTGTATGTGTCGTGGACGCATGCACCGAGATGTTAATGGCAAACTCTACCATTGGCAAGAACTCACTCCAACTCTTAAAGGAGTGTACGTATCCTCGAAGTGTCTCTTCGAGGACACGATTGGCACGTTCCGTCTGACCATCTGACTCTAGACGACCAGATGTCGACATCTTCAAGCGCGTCCCGAGTGATTTGAACACGGAGCGCCAGAAATCAGCAGTGCGCGCGGATCTCTGTCTGATACGAGTTCACGGGGTAACCCATGAAGTCGGAAGATGGTGTCGATAAAGACACAAGCACAGCCACTTGCTGTGATTGACTCGGGTACAGCCACAAGGTGTACCATTTTGCTGAATCTGTCAACAAATACGAGGATACCCGTATTCCCGCGTGCGTCTTTGGGTAACCCGAATACGAAATCCATTGAGATGGATTCCCAGCACTCTGCCGGAACTGGTAGAGGCTGTAAAGGTGCACGCAGTGAAGGACTTGACTTCACTCGTTGACAGACTTCGCATGCGCGAACATACTTTCGCACAAACTGATACTGGCGGGGCCAGTAAAAGTCTCGACTCACCGTGAGATACGTTTTCTTCCGGCCACGATGTCCTCCTATAGGAGCATCGTGATACTCGAACATGATCCGCAAACGCAGATCAGTATCATCTGGATTGACAACACGTGGTGTGTCACCAGTAACGGCTGTTTAATTCAGTAACCCGTTGCGAGTAGTGTATCGATCTGATGCAGATCGATACACAGACGACAATCGTTTCCACGATTCTCGAGATGGTTGTGAGAGATGTTTCAACAACTTCACAATCTCACCATCTTGGGCGTATGCCCGCCTCACATCATCATGTAACGTTGAAGATGGTACTGAGGACGTCATAACCGCAACAGTGGCTGTCCCACTGTTGGGTTTCACGACTGGTTCAAAGTCGGGCCGACGTGAGAGTGCATCAGCGACGACATTAAGTCGTCCTGGTTTGTACTTGACCGTAAAGTTGTATTCTGCAAAGAATGACAACCACCGTGCCATTCGTTGTGAAAGGTGCGGGCTGTTTACTGCCGTGCGTAACGACGCGTGGTCAGTACAAACAATGAAGGGTCTATCTACTAATAGACAGACTCTGAGCTTCGCGAGTGCATACTTCATGGCAAGGAGTTCCTTGTCATGCACTAGATAGTTCCGCTCAGCTGGTTGCAGCTGACGCGACTAATAGCAGACGACGCGTTCAACGCCTTCAAGATCGTACTGCATTAATGCACAGCCGATTGCGAAATCGCTGTCATCACAGACCACATGAAACGGCTTGTCCTGATCGGCAATTGCTAGGACTGGGGATTGTATCAAGCTCTGCTTGATATTATCAAAGGAGCGCTGACATTCAGCGTTCCATAATTACCTCTCGTTTCTTTTCAACAAACGAGAGGGGTGTACAGTCATCTCGGCGTAATTGCGTGAATACTTGTGCAAATACGCCGCTAGCCCAAGGAATTTTCGAAGACCTTTGACATCGACCGGCACAGGCCAGTCGGTGATCGCCTTGATCTTTTCGGGATCAGGACGTACTCCGTTCTTACCAACGATGCACCCAAGAAGTGGCATTTCGCTTGCTGCAAATATACACTTCTTGAGGTTTGCATACAGTTGATTCTTTCGCATGATTGTAAGAACCTGTCGGACGTGGTACCCGTGAACCTCAACGTCCGACTTTCCATCCATAGCTCGACTACGGGTGAATACGTCATCGAAATAACTTGGCGCGAATTCTCGTACTGGTCTCAACAGATGTGATACACATCTGTTGAACTTGGCAGGGGCATTACTAAGCCCTTGTGGCATTACTAGCCATTCCCAGAGCATGCCGCTAGGCGTGCTCACTGCGGTATAGGATATATCCCGTTCTCGCATTAGAATTTGATAGAAGCCATCCATCAAATCCATGGACGAAAAGATGGTACTCTTTGACATCCCATCAATGATTACGTCCTTCCTTGGTATCGGCGTCTGAGCCGGTACCGTTGCAGCGTTCAACTTTATGAATGCATGCACAATCCTCCACCCTCTTGTTGCTTTTCGCACACAGAAGGTCGGAGAGCTATGTGGGGAAGTTGATTCCCTCACATGGCCCGCAGCTAAACGATCGGCAAAGAACTTGTCGATCGCAAGTACTTGTTCACGAGGCAGTGGCCACTGCTTTATGACACAGTACTTCGAGCCTGACTTAAGCTCGACCTCGTGTCGAATACCTTTATCCTTCGGTAACTCGCACGGAACAGTTTGAGGGAATGCATCCTTGAATTCAACCAAATCTTCATAGAGAGAATATGGCGTGAGCGATTCCCACGATTGGGAGTCATATCGCTCAACTCGTGTCTTTTCATCGAGGACACTCTCGTCCATAAATGAACTACTGAGAAGTCACTCATTCTCAGTAAACACTGTTGCTGACCTTATGTCGGCTACACACTCGTCGTCAGCGACGAGTACGCAGATCTGCTTGACTTTGCCACTACGCAGATCATGCAAGAACCTTTTATGTTCGAGCGTTGGCAACTGAGTGATCTCCGAAGTCAACTTCGGAGGCGCAATCAGATCAAGTGTATAAGCGCCTACACTTGATCCGTCATTGACTAGGACATTCAATGCCTCTGTCATTTCTTAAAGACTTATTCCCTCAGGCTTCGAAGGACTTATTCCTTCGGCTTCCCGGGGACTTATTCCCTAGGGTTTCGGGGAACTTATTTCCACCGTATTTGTAATCTTGGGACTTATTCCCTGAACTTCCTCTAGCTGTGGTTGCGCAACCATAGCGAGATCCTCTACGAAAGACTCTCCAGTCGATCGAGGGTTATCGTTTCGCTTAACCTGAGCGATCGATATTTTCTCTTCAAGATGTTCCCTGCTAGGGATAAATCTTTGTCCCGGTTCACTTGACTTATTCGAGTGGTGGAACTTCGGGCGCAGCCTGTGTTTCCTCACAGCCGCCGGAACTTTGCTCCGAAGTGTAAGTGTTTGTCACACTAAGGTTTTGTGCAGTCGTACTAACGACCGTACCACAAGTGAGGCCATCGCACTCACTCGTAGTACATCCACACGCTTGTGGACGCTCCAAAACGTTCATCAGATGGCCATCTGGTGAACAAGCGGCAGGCATCGTTATTGTTCGATGTGGCCGGTTTACCCGTGGTTCGTTCCTTCTGAGCCACAGTATTCCAAGGATGACATCGAATTTATCATCCAAATCCAATGCGATAAAGTCATCGTCATATTGGGTACCTTCTAGCGTATAGTGAATCTTCACTATACGTTTCATGACGGTTACGGATGCGCCTGTCGCAAGACGAACCGTCATCCTCGTAGGAGGTGTGTCACATTTAATGAGCTGAAAATGACCATCTTCTAGCGATTGGCGTCGCACAAAATTGTTGGACTCCCCACAATCGACTAGAGCTCGAAGGGACAACTTATTCGTCCCTTCGAGTTTCAAGGTAATGAGTGAGATCTCATTACCTAGAGCAGCAACGCACAATGATTGTGCGTTGGGAGCAACCTTCATCAAGAGGCCTGCAAATTCTTTTGACGTTGCTGGACCAGTAGGGTGCTCCGCACCTACTGATCCTGTCCGGTTTTTGACGGTCCATCCCGTTGTTGCGTCTTTGCACCAACAGCGGACCCGCGTCCCTGACCCTTTCTCATGGGTAAACGGTCATTACGCCTAGTGTTGCGAGACACTGGACGAGGGGCACTACACTCGTAAGCGTAGTGTCCTGTCTTTTGACATCTATGGCATTTCTGCAACTTTTTGTAGTCTGTAGAGCGAGCCTTCTCGCTCTCTACATAACAGAGTTCCATCGGATCTGTACCTCCGCTGTCATATCGCCTCGGTTGACGATATGATGTCGAGCTGGCGCGAGCCTGTCTCAGGCTGAAGTCTTCCTGTTCCGCAATGGAAATGGCTTGTTCTAGTGAATCTAGTTCAAGTCGGAAACAGGTGAGTCTTGACGGGACCATCCGCAAGACCCTGCATGAACACCGAAACCAACGTGTGTTCATCAACCGGGTTGGAACTTATACAACTCGTGAGATGTCGTAGATGTTGTGCGTAAGCGTGCACATCACGCTTACCTTGTTTGAGCTTCAAGAGTTCAATTCGAGCTCTGAACTCAGCTCTAGGCGGTTCAACCGTTTGTCTGAGCCGCGACTTGAAGACTTCCAACGACCCAAACGCATATGGGTCGTGCAACTTGAGCCCCAGTGCCCAAGTCTTGGCACGTCCTGCCAGATTTGATTGGGCAAATGCAACTTGCATATCCCCGTCGTCGATGCGACGCGCCCTTATGGCGTCATCCAATTCGACGAACCATCTCAAGAGGGAGTCCCCTTCGACTTCCTTACACTTGGCGATGTCAATCTTCAAGGTCTCGGGTCGACGCGAGTGCATCGACCCACCAGCAGCAGCCTGCTGCTGTCTCAACAGTTCAAATTGTTGAGCACCCTGTTCTCTCAACAACTCAGCTTGTTGAGAACCTTGTTGGTGAAGCAAGGCTACTTTCTCGCGTTCTGCGTCAAGTTCATTTTGAATGAACTTGGCGATAGTAGCATGTTGGGCATCTCTATTGAGAGCCTCTAGCATGACGCTAACAGCATGGATGCCCATGGTTGAACCCATTCGTTCGACCGCATCCCATTCGACATCGCTCAAATGGGAGTAGCCGTCACGCGTAGCGTGAAAGCTTTGGTCATCTTCATCATCCAACATATTCATGTTAGATGTGAACGTGGTCCTTGGACGGACTACGAAGTGCTACCAGGTGTAACGGGGCACCCTGAAGCTTGTACTGATGACAGTACAAGCTACTTATTCTGATGACAGAATAAGGCGGTGCCTCGTAACTTCACGTACACTCGTACGTGCAGAGGAAGATGGTAAGAAGAAGCGATTACTTGGTTAAAGTAAAAAGTAGAACTGTATTTATAATAGTTAATGTCTGCAATAAATCACTATTTATCTTCATCTAACTATGTCTAAATACAAATGTGTAAATGATATATCTGCTCACCACTCATTGCGTGCGTCTGTCGTGGCGCGTCTTCGTTGGTTGATATAGTGGCCTATATCAACCAATTAGGAACTACTCGTAAGTGCTACAGAATATTTGTCCTTATGACAATATTTTGAGAATGTAACTCTTATAGTTATATTTTATTAACAATTTATTATAAATAAATTGCTATGTAACGATTCACCCCGTTACAGCCTTAAGGTGGTGTCCTTGGACCCGTACGGTGTCGTTGACAGTTTCCAGTGGCAATTACGCCGTTTTCATGGCCAAGAGCAGATTACTGGTGTCAAAGGCAAGCTTAACCAGAACATCAAACTCTTTGCATCACCTTACAGAACAGATAACTACCAAGTATATAGCAAAGAGGCCCACGTGGACAAGTGAATTGAGTAAAAGGCGATCTCGTTCGAGGATTACACCTTTTTTTGGCAAGCTTTCGTAGTTTAAGCACACGTTTTTCTTTTTCAGTAACGACGCGAACTCCACAATGATATTGATCAAAAGTGCTCCCATTGTCGAACTTTTTAATTGGTGATCTGTTTTTACCTCTAAGGACGAAACGATCTTGGTCGAGACAGCGTTGAAGCTATTTCGGCGTCTCAAGGACGGCAGATTTACCGTCACGATCTATAGAACGCTCAGTTTTCAGATCGCGATTCAGCACACGTCAACCAGGCTGTCGTTCAGGCAGACCGCCACCGTCACCTAGGCTCACCAAGAACGCGAAATTGACTGGGGAGAACGATGCGTTGGTCAGCGGCTACGTCCGTGTTCTCGTTGCGGTCATCATGCAGCACCTCGGCGATCTGATGCAAAGCTTTTTTGCGTAGGCATTCTCGTTTGTGTGCAACACGAGCACTCACATGAAATTCTCATTTATGTATTAGCGTCTGCGGTGGATGACCTCCTCGTCAAACTTCACTTGCAAAACATTCTTATGTTTGACCGGCACGCTGCCATCAACCAGGTCATTCTGATCATGAAAGTCATAAACGTTATCGATGTCAGCAGGCGCTAAAAGCTAATAGGCCTTTTCAGGATGGCGAGAGCACCATGACAGGCTGTCGCGGTGGAGTTATCACTTCAACTGAGAAGCAGGTGACGAATGGTGTCTATAGCGTCTGGTGTCCTGCGTACCAGACGGATACGTATTGAAGACGTGTTTATCCATGATTGAGGACGGGATAATTGTAGAGGGAACAAACTAATGGTCTGTGCACCTGCCTCGTCAGGTGATGTGATCGACCACATTGGCTCGGGGTCATTAAAGCTGATTAATCGCCGGTTTCATATGGGCAACACGCCCGATCGGATACTGGACAAGCGCTCGCGTCTACCGACGCACATTAAGGAGAAAAAGCCCGTTAATGCGCCTACCTAGGTCTGGTATATCGAAACAGCGGCTGTTGTGGCAGTGAGTGACGGTCGTTGTGAACGCGACTTTTACGAAGATCCAGGCAAAGCACATGATAATCTTACAGCATCATTATGAGATTGAGCAAATGGTACTTCTGCTATAGATTCTTCTCGCTGCCGAGCTGTTGCTCGATTACCTCAACATCGTCGGTGCAACTGACGTCTGACCCCTGTGTTGGATGCTACTAACGGAAGTCTTAATTAACTTCAAAGAGTGTAAGGGATCATTCGCCCACGGCACAGTAAAAAGTTGAGCGGGATATTGGCAATTTTTACGTGGTAACGTTGAATCAATTCTGCATTTGCTAAACAATTAATATACTGGTTAATTTGTAAACCTTCAGGAAATAAAAATTGATGAGATAGGAACTGTTTAGATGTAGGCAATGCTTACAGAACAATATGGTATCAAATCGTGGTGAAGTGATCGAGAAAAATCCTGACCAATCGCATCATTTCACAGCGCGGGTACATGTAGGACCAATCGCGCCGGCCTTGATACCGAACGCCTGATATCGCTAATGGTACCGTGGAAAGCGGAGTAGTCGCGGCCACAGACGGCGACCAGTGGTATGGCTGCTATGGTAGACCAGCAGTCGCAGTCACTGTGGACGACCAGCTGTCACGGGCACTGTGAATGACCAGTGGTCATGGTCACTTTGTACGACCAGCAGACATGGTTACTGTGGAAGACTAGCGTTCACGGTCACTGTAGACGACCAGTGGTCATGCTGGTAGTTGGGGTGGATCATCATACGCACAAGGAATGGATGGCGGGAGACAGCGCAGAAATAATAATTGCGATACAGACAGGGAGCAGCGTAGTTTTTGATGCGAAAAGGTTAGCAACAAACAGTGTTGGAATTTTCTACAAAATACACGTATCAGCATCCCTTCCGGCTAAAATGCTAGAGGCCACCCGACGTTATAGGTTTAATGCTCACGTGCTTGTTCAAGGTTTGTCCCTATATTGCTTGGAATGGGACAAATATACTCATTTTAGTCAGCCCGAGATCAGACGCGACAAGCATATAAAGACTAGGTCTTTAGGCCACTAAAACAGTCAGAAAAACCAAGGCGACCAAGTGGTCAGATGAACAAGGGGAGCAAATTATTCAGGTTTAGACAAGGAGAGCTCAAGAAAGGTTTTAGGGACTCTGGAGAGCGATACAAGTTACCGTTGGTCGTGTGAAGAACGCCCATGCGACCACACCCCACCTATCATTAACTTGGTCAAGACAGACATCGACCTCTAGCCATCTAAAATAGTGCAACCGCCCGCCAACGGGTACACAAGGTGAGAAAAAACAAGACCAAACACAAGGTCCGCAGTTCCTCGTCCGTTATTTGGTCGTCTGGGTGCCAGGGGAGATTTATGATCGCTTGCAAAATGAGCGAATTCTGCTTCAGCACTGTAATAAATTAAACGACACATCCTTTTATTTAATGATTAATAAAAACAATATAGCATCTAAGCCGACCACCACCGTGAGATCTGGCAGTAACTTTACTTAATGATTTCGACCTTTTGCTCCTTCAAAATCTTTTGCTAAAAATTTTGCTTAAAAGTGTCTGTGAATTAGTGATTTAATCTGCTTAATTGGCATAGTGTTTCGTGGACACCAAAAATTAGCGGTTTGAGTCCAGTATTATTCTATTTAAACTTTACTTAGTAAAAAAATGTCAACAACCTTTAATCATTTTTTTCAAAAAAGAGCCACAATATTAACAAAAAAATTGGTGTGCAGTTTTATAAACATCGTTCACCACACAAAATTTTTAATGTTATAGTTATTAAACAACGCCAAGAACTAAATTTAGCTATACGTATAGTTGCCAAAGTATATTTTCCTAGTTGATCTACCAAATTTACGCATTTGCCTAAAAGTTGGTCATAATTTTTAAACATTCGATAGTATAGTACGAGGTGGCATTGTAAAAGATTTGCCAGGTATCAAAAAATTCACGCAATTAGTGAAAGATCCGATTTCATCAGAATTCTCAAGGAAATGGTTTCATAATGTATAATGTTTGATTGCCGTAACGTCCATTTTAGATAAATGGTTTATTTTTAGTATAAGCATTCTCATCTATAAAAAATTAGGCAAAACCCATTGCAGAATATGCAATTTGATGGGCAGAAATTATTTTCCTCTTCAGCTCCAAGTAAATTTAAATGTAAACTTTGCTCATCTTTGTATTTTGAATGTTTAATTCCAGTTCATCTAAAAACCACTGCAGATATAAACATGATACGCCTAAACTAATTCAGCTTTAGCTTCGGGTAAATCAAATTGTTGATTATAAAATCCTGTTTCTACTTAATATTTGTTTTTATTTTAAAGATCTTCCAGAAGCCAAATAAAAGGTACTAAATTGTCTTAATTTGATATTTCAAATTAAATATTGCTATAAGTTGAGGTTATTTGTTTAAAAAAAAAAAAAATTTTTTTTTTAAATTCTCAGCAAGAATTGAACTCGAATCTTTGCCGTGAGTAGGGGAAGTCCTGGCCAAAACCAGAGGACTTACCACTAGGCTCATACCTTAAAATGCATGAAAATTTAAGCTCTAAAAGAATTGACTTCTCATGGGTTTGTGCGATGTTCAGGATGAACGTGATTGCAAGAACCCCGGTTGCCGCTTCGCTTGCTCCTGCGGGCATGCCGGCCGAGCTTTTCAAGATGCCATCGCGTATATTTGTAGCTGAGGTACTCGACCAACGCCGACCCAATGTAGTGATGTTCTGGTTGGCGGCGCAGGTCGAGGAGATCGGTAGCGATCACCGCTCACTACTGTGCCGAGAGTAAATTGTCAACGAACGCGTCAAGACCAGGATTAGCCGATATGATCACGAGACGATACTTAACATTGGCTGGGATGGCGTCCAGGGATGCATATCTGAAAGTTCGTTCCGTTGTCTGCTAAATTCCAGCTGCGGACTAGCCACCGTGTTCGCCAACCCAACGTCGGTGGAGTCGAATTTTCCATATTGAAGTGGGAGAAGGATGATCGGCGCACGGATTTGACTTGTCTGGCATTGGAAGGGTTTCTCCAGGCAAAACAGTTTGACCTGCTGACGCGTCTGAGGTAGAAGAATTGCGTTTCTGGTTGATGCTGACATGGGTTGTCTATCGATATGACCTGCGAGACCATCCTTGGATTGCGCCAGACGAAAGAAGATTGCGCCAGACTGGATATGATGACACCAGACTAGCCTACCAAGTTTAACACTCCTCCTCAATATATTCATTCTCCATTTCACTACATTAGACTCGAGCCCCTCTGCAAGCCACGGGCCGGGTTTGTCATTTTGATATATCAAATTTGGCTAACTTAGTCACATCTCATCCCGTACGAGAATCCCGTCGCCATCATCATGGGACGGAATGAGGATGAATACGTCACTTACACCATCGTGACGTGCCAAGAAAGTGCGACTTCACCAGCTGACGTCGCCACAATGAAGATAAAGCGCTTTCGCGGTGGTTCATCGAAGGACTGGCTCACATGGAGCATGCAGTTTCGAAGCCTCGCGAAACGAAAAGGCTGAGAGAGCTGACCAACTATCCGTTCAACTTCTTACGCTGATTGACGGTGATCTGTTGCGCGAAGTAGAGCGCATTGCCAGCGATGCTTCCAGCAAAGGCCTGACATTTGAAGACTTTTACCGGGAGGTTGGACTTCTTCTGGTCCCAGCGGATTACTGTGAAGACCTGGACGAAGAACTATGGACACTCACCAAGCGCAGAGAAGAGACGGTACAACGCTGCGCGGCACGGCTAAGACAGCTTGCACAGATGTACGCCGATTTGCATCAGGATTCGCAAACCATCTCAGAGCTTCAACAATGTCGATATTTTCGCCGCGCCATGCCGCCGCACTGGCAGGACAAGCTCGCGTGCTGCGGAATTTCGTATGAGACGGTGAACGAACTGGCGATGTATTTCGAGCGCCTCGAAAGGCGCGAGAGGCAGACTGGCCGGGATCGCCTAAATGGTCCAGCTACCCAGGGTGGTGAAAAGGGTCAAGGTCGACGCGACCAACAACGCCCTACCGCTGACCAGCGCAGAGATCGGCGCAACCCTCGCGAGCATCGCGACACGCGTCAAGATCATCGAGACCGACCTGGTGTACAAGGCGGCAAGAAGAAGCATGACCGTCACCAAGAACACGGCAAGTGGTGTTCATTCCACAAATCAAGCTCGCACGATTCCAGCGAATGCTTTGCCCTCAAGAAGCAACGCGAAGAGCACAAGCCTGCCGGAGACGAAACGAACTGCTCACAAAAAGAGTAATTACCCAAGATTCGAAGAGGAAGAGGCAAGCGACAGTGACAGCGACAGCGAGCTTAAGCTTGTCGGCCTTGTCAAGAAGAAGCAACCGAGCGCCAAGCTCGCCCCACTCCGGATCCCGGTACAATTCAAAGACGCGAGTGGCACCTTCAATGCCCTGCTAGACAGTGGTGCTTCGCGGAGCATAATCAACCAAGAAACTATGCGAGCTAATGCTCAGCTTGGGCATAGACAAGTCGAGTCGGCGACAAAGTTTCAGACGGTCAACGGAGAAGTCGCTAGTGCTGGTAGTACGATTGTACAGTTCCGCTTTCCGTCTCTCCAGCCTTCGACCATAATCACGCACAAGTTCGAAATTCTGGATCAGAGCCAGGATGCCATGGTGATCGGTCGTGATATCCTGAATGAACTAGGAATCGTGCTCAATTTTAAAGACAAACTGGTTCAGTGGGATGGTCACGATACACATTTAAACACCGGCGGGTCATCGTCTCCCAACGCAAGTGATTATGAATTCCCCGAAGAGAGCAAAGAAGTCGATAACACTGCAGTGCGACCAGAAGACCTCATGCCAGACAGGCTATCCAAGCCACTCGTCGGCAAATATCTCCAGCTTCTTCGCGATAACGAGCATCTCTATGACGGTCACTTGGGGAGGATGAGATTCGAAGACTACGCTCTACCAATAGTGCCGGAGTACAAGCCTGTACACGCAAAAACCTTATCCAGTCCCAAGAAGCCTCGAAAACAAGGCTCGAGAGCTCATCCAGCATTTGGTCAGCATCGACGTGCTGGAGCAGATTTTTGATTCAGAAATGGCATCGCCTGCTTTTTTTTCTCAAGAAGCCCAACGGATCACTTCGTCTACTGATAGATTTTCGCGGACTCAACCGATATCTGAAACGCAGCCTTTATTACGTCCCACGTATACGCGAGATCCTGTTGCGTCTCGCAGGAGCCAAGTATCTGTCAACATTCGATGCTAATATGGGGTATTACGCGCGTCGCCTTGCTGCCTCAAGCCGTGGTCACACAGCTTTCTGTCTTCCGTTCGGGAAGTATCAATACAAACGAATCCCAATGGGCATTTCTACAGCACCGGACGAATACCAAGCCTGCATGGAGAAGAATTTTGGCGATCTGGCTTTTGTCGTAGTCTATTTGGATGATATACTCGTCTACTCCGATAGTGAAGAGACGCACCTAGAGCACCTACACATTGTGTTCAAGCGACTAACCAAGTATGGGGTAACTCTCAACGGAAAGAAGTGCCACATCCTCAGACAGTCCGTCGACTATCTCGGCTTTACGCTGACATCTCAAGGGATCCAGCCCCAACAAAAGAAGATTCAAGCCATCCAACGAATTTCCGTCCCCAAAACCAGGAAGGAACTACGCCGCTTCCTCGGAATGATTAATTACTATAGAGATATGGTACCCAACAAGACGGCATTGTGCCAACCTCTCAACCGATTCACCAGCTCCAAAGTCCCGTTCGACTGGTTGTCTAGCGACACGGAAGCATTTCACGCTATCCAGAAAGCGTTTGCCCAAGCCGTACTGCTCGCGTTTCCTGACTTTGAGCAACCATTTCACGTCTACGCCGATGCCAGCGGAAAGCAAATCGGTGGCATCATTATGCAGAAGAACCAGATTCTCGCCTGCTATTCCCGAAGTCTCAACAAGCATCAAGTGAATTACACAACGATGGAGCCTGAGCTCCTCTCTATCGTTGAAATGCTGCGCGAATACCGCACCATGCTGCTCGGGTTCCCTGTGGTTGTTCACACCGACCATAAGAACCTAATTTATCCGACCGAAACCAGCCTGCGCGTTAAGCGCTGGAAGCTCCTGTTGGCTGAGTACAGGCTATCGATGCATTACATCAAGGGAACCAAGAATGTTGGTGCTGATGCGTTTTCCCGGATGAGATTCGATGCGATGAACACGAAGACTCATTTGCAGCTCGCGGACGAGATATGCGCTACCGCTGATGAACCAGATTGTGTCATGCATGGTCCGGTTCTTCGCGAACATCAAGATAAGGACTTGATGATTCAAAAAATCAAGACAGCTTGCCTCAACGGCAACAACAATCCTGACTATCAGCTTCTACCTCTACTCGGCTGCACGCTGGTCGCGTACCAAAAGCGCGTCATCGTGCCCGATAGCTTGCGAGAAGATCTCATTCGTTGGTATCATTTAACGCTCAGTCACCCTGGCGATGAACGACAGTACAAGACAATGAGGCAGGTTCTCTACTGGCCCGGAATGGAAGCCGCGATCATCAAGAATGCGAAAGATTGTCTAATTTGCAAGAAGGCAAAGGTCCACGGAGGCAAGCAGGACTATGGATTACTACCACCACGAACACTCAAGACGGTGAACCCCTTTGACACCGTTCATGTCGATCTCATTGGTCCCTACGAAGACGGACACTACGGTATTACCATGATTGACCATGCGACGCGTTGGCTGGAAGTGGGTATTCAGCACGACAAAACTTCGCTGACCACAGCCGAAAGCTTCGATCGTGAATGGCTGTGCCGCTACCCGCGTCCTGTAACGGTTATACACGACCTAGGAACGGAATTCACTGGTGATGAGTTTCAAGAATTGCTCCGCAGCTACGGGATACAATCCAAGCCTATAACAAGCAAGAACCCTCAAGCTAACGCTATTTGTGAACGCGTTCACCTCGAGATTTTAAATGTCATCAGGTGCCACGATGGCACTGACTGGAAGAAAACCATTCACTACGCTGCATTCGCCGTGCGAGCAAGCTACCACAGCATTCTTAATGCTTCCCCAGGTCAACTACTCTTCGGTCAAGATATGATCACTCGTCAGCTTTATAACGCCAACTGGAGCTATCTATCGAAGCGTCGTTTCGATGCAATTCTCGCCGACAATGACCGCGAGAATAGCAAACGCCTCGAGCATTTCTACAATACGGGAGACCACGTGATGTTACGCGTCCCCAAGAAGTTCCGTGCAAAATTGCACGCAGTGGCAACCGGACCTTTTGTTATCCGCCAAGTTCACAGCAACGGCACTGTGACCATCGACAAGGGAGCAATGGCAGAACGTGTGAGCATCCGCCGCATTTTTCCGTGCTAAATCTCACAGATCATGGGGGGAGTATGACATGGGTTGTCTATCGATATGACCTGCGAGACCATCCTTGGATTGCGCCAGACGAAAGAAGATTGCGCCAGACGAAAGAAGATTGCGCCAGACTGGATATGATGACACCAGACTAGCCTACCAAGTTTAACACTCCTCCTCAATATATTCATTCTCCATTTCACTACATTAGACTCGAGCCCTCTGCAAGCCACGGGCCGGGTTTGTCAATGCATTGGACCCGCCGAGCTCATGTTTTATTACGTCATGTCCTATTACTACAAGGATGCGCATTTGGTGAACTTCGGTCGATGCCAAATTTAGGACCAGACAGCGTACTGAAATTAGCTTAATCTTGGAAGATTCGGCGTTCACCGATTTTTCGGAGGCCTGCATTAGATGCGTAGAGGCCGCGTAGTTATGCACGTGAGTCAGTTGGAAGCCACGTTTGCGTACACAGTAGTAGTATGCAGTTCACAATGTGGTCTTTAATCGATCAGCTTTAGGGCTTCGATGACTTGCTTGTGATAAAGAGGGCAATCTATATAGAAGACGGTACTTGTAGTTAGTATCTTGGTGCCGTTTGATTAATTTGGAGCTTGAGCTTCCTTTCCTCAGCTTACCAGCGTTTACCAGCACAGAGCACACGCTAGATTACTTCTGGCATATCTTGACAGCGTCGCCACAATATCGTGGAGCATTTGTCTAGCTTGCCCGCTTATTCGACGTGTAGATTGAGAGAATAAAAATGCTTGCCTGGGGGAAAGGAATCAGGTGAACGCACGGGGTCTGCTTGGTTTCCACGCGCGACTCAGCATTTGAGCTCGTTCCTCCTAATGGCTCTCGAGTGCACTGCAGTGAATTACGACCGCAGCGATCGACCTCTTCATTTTCATACCATCGTCCTGGACTTTGAAACGAAAACGGACCTGGGCTGCCGCTAATCACGATGTTAACTCTGTAGAGTCATCTTGCTTTTTAGCCAGTAGCTATCGAAACTGAAGTGGCTCATGTACGACATTAGATGTAATATCCACGCGTAAGCTGTTAAAGCTGCTGATGAAGTTACTATACGAGCCAGTCCGTTACATCGATTTACTGTACGGTTAGCTCCTTCCATAACATCCCTTGATATAACATTTGTCCTCTATAAGATCCAGAATGAGGGTGGAAAAACAAAGACGTTAGAGGGAGCTGACTGTATAACATCATGTTAATATTACACTGCTGAGCAGGTACGTTTCATGTTGTTAGGATGACGAATTAAAGATAAATAATCAGTGAGTTTTATGGTAGTTTCAGAGGATTGCCATGAGATAGCGTTACATAAAGGCTCAAAAATAGCTCATGGCAATGAACTAAGGACCTTATATATTTTTACTTCGGCTATTGCCTCCAACTACTTGACACATCACTTAATACAACATTTTCCTTTGTAAACATCCAAATTGGGGGTGGACAAACGGGATAAAAAATGAGGGGTTGACTAAACAAGCCATTGACTTCCATCCTTCATTTGCACTATCCGAATTCTTTGACATGGCTGCATCCATTAAAAGCATTGTCACACTCGTTCACGAAGACGTGCCGACTTCGCGTTCAAACATTGACACAGCAGACAAAAAGAACTTATCGAGCATACGGATTATCCGTCAGATCTTTATTCAATATGATGCAAAACTACAACGACACTACAACAGCACTACAGCAACCACCACAACAACGCTTACGACATACACACCCCATACTAGCACATTCTATCACACATAGGTGATGGTATTAGGTGAGTAGCTGCAGCCACTTCCCGACGGGCCCACACCAGACTTTCTCGGCTCACCTCCAGCCCCCGTTCCATCCGACCAAGAACACACGTCGACCTTCTTGCCCTTGATCTTGATGTTCTCAATTGTGGCACGGTCACTCTTGTTCTTTGTCAGGATACTCACGCGACCATTGACGGCAAATACGTTCTTGATGCTGATGCTGACACCCTTGTCGCCACACGTCCCGCATGAGCGGAAGAGCTTTCCAAAGTCCTGCACGTAGAAGCCCTCAATGGACACGGATCCGTATCCGTTGTGCTGCACCACTTTGTCAGCGGCCGAGCGTGCACCGCCACCAACCACTCTTGTCATGCTGCTTGCAGAGCCGCCCTTGATGCTCAGCGCATCCTCGCACACGTCATTCCACCACACGTTCTGGACAAGGCAATCACCATGCTCGCAGTGCACCCCTCCATTTGATCCGTACCGATGATCACGTTCTTGAGTGTACCGCCGGCCTGGATAACGAACACGGCAGTTTGCCATCCACTCTCCGCCTGTCCACGGCACTTGACGTTTGACCGCTGGAACGTCTTCATCTTTCCATCGAAGACCTCGCCTCTCTTGACCGTGTAGGGCGCTGAGAGGTATTCATTGCCCTGACTAGTGGGCCATGAGCCATCCGGCATTGGAGCTGCCTCGGCTCGCATGGAAGCTCCCGAAGTCACGGCGGCAGTCGTGGCAAACACAAGCGCGGCGAATGAGATGGTATTGACCATGGTTTGCAGTAAAGTATTGCTCAGTTGCAAAGGACGTTCGCGGTCGGTCGGTCGGTCGTTTGCTGCGAAGAGCGTGGATTGAGTAATGAGTGATGAGTGTGCGGTTGATTTTCGGTGAACGCTGCCAGAGCTTCCGGGTCCAGCTAGAGCGTTCATCGAACAGTCAAGCGATGCCAAGAATGTAGAGCCACCACCACCATTTAGGTCTTGCCGTCGTGTACACTTGCAATGACCAGCTCATGACAGACGCGCAACCTACAGCTGATATATGAATACCTCGGAGAGATTCTACAAGGAGTCGATAGGGTCGGCAAGCACAGAGATGACCACACACATCGGTAGCAGCTTGTATAGCTTTTACCAGATGCTAGCTAATGACACCTTCTATAGCATTACCAGATGCTAGCTAATGACACCGTGGATGAATTGACGCTCGCTATAGTAGCATCGGACTTGGCAGTATTGGCTTTAGCGCATCAATGTCTAAGGTCGTATGCTATGTTTTGGTGTGTCGAACCACGGGCTTGTCCGAAACGATCTGCAAACAGTTAGAACCCCGTGCGCCGTGGAAGAATTTTCATCTGCGACCTGGAGGGACACGAAGCAGGTGTTGTCTACAGTGCACGATCGAGAGGTTGCTCCGAGTGGAAAAGCGCAAGTGTCACCATGTGCACTACAAACACTGCATCTGTTGGTCGTACACCCAATGTAATGAAGATGGTTTTCTCTGTTGTGCCGTGCGTTTGTTGTGTAATCTCATACGTACATCCACAGATCAACTGCACAGTGGAGGTGCTCGTGCTTTCATAACGGACGGAAACCTAGCACACTGTAATAACACACGCACTCGCTGTAAAGTATGTATCCTTGCAATGCGGCATATGTAGCAGGGTGACCGGAGCTTACAATCTCAACGTGTTTTGCTTCATATGTAGCTCGAGGTCATTGCAGCCGTTCTCAAATAACTTTGAATAAGTTCTTTAAGCTTCTTTCGAACCGAGCGGGGGACGCGAACAGCGGACATAGCAGCCGGCTTGGATGTAGAGTTGTAGGCCGCGTACCGTGCACGTGAACAAGTTGAACGTCACGTGATGCACGAACGGCCGTAGAATGCAGTACTCGAATGTAATCTTAGGTCGATCATCGTTGGGGCAACGACGATTTATCGTGATCAGCAAGCGCAATCTGCACAGGAGGTAGTGCTTGTTGTCGGTATTCAGGCGCCGTTACGGTTCATTCTGGCTACCAGCGATTTAAGCATACGTGCACACGCTGGATCCTTTCCTGCAAATACCGACAGCGTCGCCACGACATTGTGAAGCAAATAAATGTCGCTGGTCCATGCACCACATACATAAAATCAGAAACTAGGTGTGCTTGCGTAAAGGTAAGGAATCCGGTGAGCACATGAGAACTGCCTGATTTACACGCGCTGCTTACAGCATTTGGTCTTGTACTCCCCCATGGCTCAGTACTGCACCGAATTACGCCTGTACCGAGCAACCTCTTTGTTTTCACACCATTATCCTGGACTTTGGAATGTAAAATCGACTTGGACGTTCGCTCATCACGATATTTACTCTGTAGGGACAGGCTTACTCTTAAACAAAAGCAATCGAAACTGAGGGTACTCATGCATGGTATGATGTGTAGTAGCCACGCGTAAGCTGTCGAAGGTGCTCGATCCGAAAATTTGAAGAGCACGAGCCAGTCCTTAGGATTGATATCGTCCGAGCCATTCTATTGTATCCTCCCTTTGCAAGAAACATGGTCAAAAAGCCTTGAAATGACCGCTTGACATGAAGAGCGCTGCCGCACTCGTTCACGAAGACGTGCCGACTTCGCGTTCAAACATTGACACAGCAGACAAAAAGAACTTATCGAGCATACGGATTATCCGTCAGATCTTTATTCAATATGATGCAAAACTACAACGACACTACAACAGCACTACAGCAACCACCACAACAACGCTTACGACATACACACCCCATACTAGCACATTCTATCACACATAGGTGATGGTATTAGGTGAGTAGCTGCAGCCACTTCCCGACGGGCCCACACCAGACTTTCTCGGCTCACCTCCAGCCCCCGTTCCATCCGACCAAGAACACACGTCGACCTTCTTGCCCTTGATCTTGATGTTCTCAATTGTGGCACGGTCGCTCTTGTTCTTTGTCAGGATACTCACGCGACCATTGACGGCAAATACGTTCTTGATGCTGATGCTGACACCCTTGTCGCCACACGTCCCGCATGAGCGGAAGAGCTTTCCAAAGTCCTGCACGTAGAAGCCCTCAATGGACACGGATCCGTATCCGTTGTGCTGCACCACTTTGTCAGCGGCCGAGCGTGCACCGCCACCAACCACTCTTGTCATGCTGCTTGCAGAGCCGCCCTTGATGCTCAGCGCATCCTCGCACACGTCATTCCACCACACGTTCTGGACAAGGCAATCACCATGCTCGCAGTGCACCCCCTCCATTTGATCCGTACCGATGATCACGTTCTTGAGTGTACCGCCGGCCTGGATAACGAACACGGCAGTTTGCCATCCACTCTCCGTGTAACGGGGTGAATCGTTACATAACAATTTATAAGAAATTGTTAATAGAATATAACTATAAGAGTTATATTCTCAGAATATTGTCATAAGGACAATATTCTGTAGCACTTCCAAGTAGTTCCTAATTGGTTGATATAGGCCATTATATCAACCAACGAAGACGCGCCACGACAGACGCACGCAATGAGTGGTGAGCAGATAACTGATTTACACATTTGTATTTAGACATAGTTAGATGAAGATAAATAGTGATTTATTGCAGACATTAACTATTATAAATACAGTTCTACTTTTTACTCTAACCGAGTACTCGCTTCTTCTTACCGTCTTCCTCTGCACGTACGAGTGTACGTGAAGTTACGAGGCACCGCCTTATTCTGTTATCAGAATAAGTAGCTTGTACTGTCACCAGTACAAGCTTCAGGGTGCCCCGTTACACCTGGTAGCACTTCGTAGTCCGTCCAAGGACCGCGTTCACATCCAACATGAATATGTTGGATGATGAAGATGACCAAAGCTTTCACGCTACGCGTGACGGCTACTCCCATTTGAGCGATGTCGAATGGGATGCGGTTGAACGAATGGGTTCGACCATGGGCATCCATGCTGTTAGCGTCATGCTAGAGGCTCTCAATAGAGATGCCCAACATGCTACTATCGCCAAGTTCATTCAAAATGAACTTGACGCAGAACGCGAGAAAGTAGCCTTGCTTCACCAACAAGGTTCTCAACAAGCAGAGTTGTTGAGAGAACAAGGTGCTCAACAGTTTGAACTGTTGAGACAGCAGCAGGCTGCTGCTGGCGGGTCGATGCACTCGCGTCGGCCCGAGACTTTGAAGATTGACATCTCAAAGTATAGAGGGGTCGAAGAAGACTCCCTCTTGAGATGGTTCGTCGAATTGGACGACGCTATAAGGGCGCGTCGCATCGACGACGGGGATATGCAAGTTGCATTTGCCCAGTCAAATCTGGCAGGACGTGCCAAGACTTGGGCACTGGGGCTCAAGCTGCACGACCCATATGCGTTTGGGTCGTTGGAAGTCTTCAAGTCGCGGCTCAGACAAACGTTTGAACCGCCTAGAGCTGAGTTCAGAGCTCGAACCGAACTCTTGAAGCTCAAGCAGGGTAAGCGTGATGTGCACGCTTACGCTCAACATATACGACATCTCACGAGTTGTATAAGTTCCAATCCGGTGGATGAACACACGTTGGTTTCGGTGTTCATGCAGGGTCTTGCGGATGGTCCCGTCAAGACTCACCTGTTCCGGCTTGAACTAGATTCACTAGAACAAGCCATTTCAATTGCGGAGCAGGAAGACTTCAGTCTGAGACAGGCTCGCGCCAGCTCGACATCATATCGTCAACCGAGACGATATGACAACGGAGGTCCAGAGCCGATGGAACTCTGTTATGTAGAGAGCGAGAAGGCTCGCTCTACAGGCTACAAGAAGTTGCAGAGATGCAACAGATGTCAAAAAGACAGGAAACTACGCTTACGAGTGTAGTGCCCCTCGTCCAGTGTCTCGCGACACTGGGCGTAGTGACCGTCCACCCATGAGAAAGGGGCAGGGACGAGGGTCCGCAGTTGGTGCAAAGACGCAACAACGGGATGGACCGTCAAAAAACGGACAGGATCAGTAGGTGCGGAGCACCCTACTGATCCAGCAACGTCAAGAGAATTTGTAGGCCTCTTGATGAAGGTTGCTCCCAACACACAGACATTGTGCGTTGCTGCTCTAGGTAATGAGATCTCACTCATTACCTTGAAACTCGAAGTGACGAATAAGTTGTCCCTTCGAGCTCTAGTCGATTGTGGGGCGTCCAACAATTTTGTGCGACGCCAATCGCTAGAAGATGGTCACTTTAAATTCAGTGAATGTGACACACCTCCTACGAGGATGACGGTACGTCTTGCGACAGGCGCATCCGTAACCGTCATGAAGCGTATAGTGAAGATTCACTATACGCTAGAAGATACCCAATACGACGATGACTTTATCGTATTGGATTTGGATGACAAATTTGATGTCATCCTTGGAATACCGTGGCTCAGAAGGTACGAACCACGGGTAAACTGGCAACATCGGACAGTAACGATGCCTGCCGCTTGTTCATCAGATGGCCATCTGATGAACGTTTTGGAGCGTCCACAAGCGTGTGGATGTACTACGAGTGAGTGCGATGGCCTCACTTGTGGTACGGTCGTTAGTACGACTGCACAAAACCTTAGTGTACCAAACGGTTACACTTCGGAGCAAAGTTCCGGCGGCTGTGAGGAAACACAGGCTGCGCCGAAGGTCCACCACTCGAATAAGTCGGGTGGACTGGGACAAAGATGTATCCCTAGCGGGGAACATCTAGAAGAGAAACAATCGATCGCTCAGGTTAAGCGAAACGATAATCCTAGATCGACTGGAGAGTCTTTCGTAGAGGATCTCGCTGTGGTTGCGCAACCCCAGCTAGAGGAAGAAAAGGGAATAAGTCCCAAGATTACAAATACGGCGGAAATAAGTTCCCCGAAACCCGCGGGAATAAGTCCCCGGGAAGACGAAGGAATAAGTCCTTCGAAGCCTGAGGGAATAAGTCCCCAGGAAATGACAGAGACATTGAATGTCATAGTCAATAACGGATCATGTGTAGGCGCTTATACACTTGATCTGATTGCGCCTCCGAAGTTAACTTCGGAGATCACTCAGTTGCCAACGCTCGAACATAAAAGGTTCTTGCGTGATCTGCGTAGTGGCAAAGTCAAGCAGATCTGCATACTCGTCGCTGACGACGAGTATGTAACCGACATAAGGTCAGCAACAGTGTTTACTGAGAACGAGAGAGTTCTCAGTAGTTCATCTATGGACGAGAGTGTCCTAGATGAAAAGACACGAATTGAGCGATATGAGTCCCAATCATGGGAATCGCTCAAGGAAAATCCTCTCTATGAAGATTTGGTTGAATTCAAGGATGTATTCCCTGAAACTGTTCCGTGCGAATTACCGAAGGATAAAGGTATTCGACACGAAGTCGAGCTTAAACCAGGCTCGAAGTACTGTGTCATGAAGCAGTGGCCACTGCCTCGTGAACAAGTACTTGCGATCGACAAGTTCTTTGCCGATCGTTTAGCAGCGGGCCATGTGAGGGAATCAACTTCCCCACATAGCTCTCCGACCTTCTGTGTGCGAAAAGCAACAGGAGGGTGGCGGATAGTGCACGCGTTCAACAAATTGAACGCTGCAACGGTACCGGCTCAGACGCCGATACCGAGGAAGGACGTAATCATTGATGGTATGTCAAAGAGTACCATCTTTTCGTCCATGGATTTGATGGATGGCTTCTATCAAATCCTTATGCGGGAACGGGATATACCCTATACCGCAGTTAGCACGCCTAGCGGCATGCTCTGGGAATGGCTAGTAATGCCACAAGGGCTCAGTAATGCCCCTGCCACGTTCAACAGGTGTGTATCACATCTGTTGAGGCCAGTACGAGAATTCGCGCCGAGTTATTTCGATGACGTATTCATCCATAGTCGAGCTATGGATGGAAAGTCGGACGTTGAGGTTCACAAGTACCACGTCCGACAAGTTCTTACAATCATGCGAAAGCATCAATTGTATGCAAACCTCAAGAAGTGTATATTTGCAGCAAGCGAAATACCACTTCTTGGGTGCATCGTTGGTAAGAACGGTGTACGTCCTGATCCCGAAAAGATCAAGGCGATCACCGACTGGCCTGTGCCGGTCGATGTCAAAGGTCTTCGAAAATTCCTTAGGCTAGCGGCGTATTTGCATAAGTATTCACGCAATTACGCCGAGATGACTGTACACCTCTCTCGTTTGTTGAAAAAGAACGAGAGGTGGTTATGGAACGCTGAATGTCAACGCTCCTTTGAGGGTATCAAGCAGAGCTTGATACAATCCCCAGTCCTAGCAATAGCCGATCAGGACAGGCCATTTCATGTGGTCTGTGATGCCAGCGATTTCGCAATCGGCTGTGCATTAATGCAGTACGACCTTGAAGGCGTTGAACGCGTCGTCTGCTATCAGTCGCGTCAGCTGCAACCAGCTGAGCGGAACTATCCAGTGCATGACAAGGAACTCCTTGCCATGAAGTATGCACTCGCGAAGTTCAGAGTCTATCTATTAGGAGATAGACCCTTCGTTGTTTACACTGACCATGCGTCCTTACGCACGGCAGTGAACAGCCCGCACCTTTCACAACGAATGGCGCGGTGGTTGTCATTCTTTGCAGAATACAACTTTACGGTCGAGTACAAACCAGGACGACTTAATGTCGTCGCTGATGCCACTCTCACGTCGTCCCGACTTTGAAACAGTCGCGAAACCCAACAGTGAGACAGTCACTGTTGCGGTTATGACGTCCTCAGTTCCATCTACAACGTTGTATGATGATGTGAGGCGGGCATACGCCCAAGATGGTGAGATAGTGAAGTTGTTGTCACATCTCTCCCAACCATCTCGAGAATCGTTGAAACGATTGTCGTCTGCGTATCGATCTGCATCAGATCGATACACTACTCGTAACGGTTTACTGTACTATACAGCCGTTTCTGGTGACACACCACGTGTTGTCATTCCAGATGATACTGATCTGCGTTTGCGGATCATGTTCGAGTATCACGATGCTCCTATAGGAGGACATCGTGGCCGAGAGAAAACATATCTCACGGTAAGTCGAGACTTTTACTGGCCCCGCCAGTATCAGTTTGTGCGAAAGTATGTTCGCGCATGCGAAGTCTGCCAACGAGTGAAGTCAAGTCCTTCACTGCGTGCACCTTTACAGCCTCTACCGGTTCCGGCTGAGTGCTGGGAATCCATCTCAATGGATTTCGTCTTCGGGTTACCCAAAGACGCACGCGGGAATACGGGTATTCTCGTATTTGTTGACAGATTCAGCAAAATGGTACACCTTGTGGCTGTACCAGAGACAATCACGGCAAGTGGCTGTGCTTGTGTCTTTATTGACACCATCTTCCGACTTCATGGGTTGCCCCGTGAACTCGTATCAGACAGAGATCCACGATTCACTGCTGATTTCTGGCGTTCCGTGTTCAAATCACTCGGAACGCGCTTGAAGATGTCAACATCTGATCATCCAGAGTCAGATGGTCAGACGGAACGTGCCAATCGTGTCCTTGAAGAGATACTTCGAGGATACATACACTCCTTTAAGAGTTGGAGTGAGTTTTTGCCGATGGTAGAGTTTGCCATCAACAACTCGGTGCATGCGTCCACGAGACATACACCGTTTTACGTGAATGGCTTGCGCCATCCGCGTGTACCCACCTTACTAGAGTGTAACTCTGGTTTAAGGGGGGGAGGGACTCGCGCGAGCAAAAACCGATTTGGTTCACGCTCATCACGCTCTGACGAAGAAGTCATTGCGTTTGATGCCGATATCGATAACATCGATATCGAAGAAGATGATGCCAGTGAGAGTGCGGAAGCCCTCACTGAAGACAATGATCCCAGTGAGAGTGCGGAAGCCCTCACTGAAGAAAAGGTTGTTGTTGCTGCAGTGCGCTCACAGCACACTGAAGCTAACGAGTCATCAGATGAGTTCATACTGGCTCGTGAAACGGTAGTCCGTTTTGTGCAAGACTCCATCGCCGAAGCGGTGGATAAGCAAAAGCAAAACGCTGACAAGAATGGAAGGGCAAACACTCTTTTATTTAATAAAGGTGACTTAGTCCTACTGTCTACGGTTAATCTACCAAAACATGTAGTGACTAACTTGGGTAGCAGTAAACTACTACCCAAGTACATTGGCCCATTTCGTGTATTGCACCGCCTAGGCAATGCATACACGATCGAGTTACCACGTAAGATGCGAACGCATCCCACGTTTTACGTTGGTCGGCTTAAGCCGTACCATCAGTACGCTGCTTCTTCCGATGAAGAACGCCCTTGCGCTCAAGCATCTCGCAGAGAGCCTTGTGCTCCCGATGGTGGGCATCAACAAGGGTCTGAAGAGCAGTTATCTCAGCCCGAGACCGATCAACAATCCCACGAGCTACCCTTAGCTCGTCACGAAGAGATGTCAGAGATCTCTCGTTCTCAAGCTGAGCAAAGGCAAACTCAGCTCGATGCTTCGAGGCAGTGTCCAACATCTGGAGACGCCTATTCCGCTCATGCTCGAGATCGTCGCGTAACCCTTGCGTTACGCGATCAAAGATGCTCTCGGGAACACACCGATCCACATGATCGTGTGGAGAGCGTCTTTCCTCCTCCTCCACCTCCATTAGAGGACTCTCGCGGTGGCCAGCGCTATCTAGTAGAGCAGCTGTTGAACCACCGCGACGTGAACGGACGTCGGACGAGTTACCTCGTCCGGTGGCGCGGCTATCCCCCGTCCTGGGATTCTTGGGAGCCCCGCTCCCAATTGATGGTTGACGTACTGGGTCTGGTCGAGCAGTACGACGCGACACATCCTGTGCCGCAGAAGGACCGCCGGAGAAAGTCTTCCCGGCACGGTCGTAAAGGGATTTCAGGTTGTCAATCCCTTCGTACATCTCAGTAGAGACACGTACGCGCCACCACGGGCTGGTAAGGAGGTAAGCCTCCTTAGGTGCTCGTGCAGAGTTGTTCACACAACATGGGCACGAGTCTCCCCAAGAGAGGCAGGGTAATCCTTTCTCCCTTGACAGACGATGCAGCTTATAGCGTGCACCTGTCGGGGTTCGCTTTTCAAACTTATCACGAGCTTTGATAAGTTTGTCGTTCCAAGCGTCACGACCTACATCCTCGAGATTATGGATGTAGGCGTTCCACGCCTGAAGTAGTGAGGGACCATCACGTTTGTGATTCCCACTGTACCATCGATGTCTGAAGAAAGCATCGATGAAGAACTCATGTTCAGCGCGATAGTCTTTCGCGCTGGGGTCAAGGTGATGAATCCTTGACGAATCGAACAATCGTGTTCGATAACGATCACTCGTCGTCGCCGACAAGTGATCCATGACAGATTTAGGAGGCATCCATGCCTTCTTTTCTGGAGCGAGACGCAACACATTGCGGTCCCGCTCTTCCTGCGACGTGCCGACAGAAGTACTGGCACCTCGCTGTGAAGTGGTGTCCATTGGAGAAACGACACCACTATTAGCGCCCGAGTCTCGCGACCTCGAGCGCCTTCGCTTCGGCGATGGTTCATCTGACTCATCAGATGAACCAAAGATGCTGCGACGCAAAGCATCGTCCATGCCACGCTTGGCAGGCGGCTTGGATTCAATTGCCGTCGATACGGATCCGTCATCCGTATCAGGAGAGTACGAGACACCGAGCTCGTACTCTGTGAAGACACGAGTGTCTTCATGACCAGCGCCTGCATCACCAGGTGATACAGGCTGAGTCGATTCAGCAACCGATGGGACATCAGTTGCTGTAGTTTCTGCTTCGGCGTCCGCACAGAGACGTGCAGACGCGCTCTCGGCGGCCTTGCTCGCGCATCGCATGGGCTTGTTTACCATGCGATGAGATGTTGGAAAGTGGACGCGGACCAACAAGTGCAAACCCCGTCCCAAATGATTTGGGACGAGTATCCATTTAGTCAATCAGTCACTAAAGTGACTGATGGTTAAGGGGGTGATGTAACGGGGTGAATCGTTACATAACAATTTATAAGAAATTGTTAATAGAATATAACTATAAGAGTTATATTCTCAGAATATTGTCATAAGGACAATATTCTGTAGCACTTCCAAGTAGTTCCTAATTGGTTGATATAGGCCATTATATCAACCAACGAAGACGCGCCACGACAGACGCACGCAATGAGTGGTGAGCAGATAACTGATTTACACATTTGTATTTAGACATAGTTAGATGAAGATAAATAGTGATTTATTGCAGACATTAACTATTATAAATACAGTTCTACTTTTTACTCTAACCGAGTACTCGCTTCTTCTTACCGTCTTCCTCTGCACGTACGAGTGTACGTGAAGTTACGAGGCACCGCCTTATTCTGTTATCAGAATAAGTAGCTTGTACTGTCACCAGTACAAGCTTCAGGGTGCCCCGTTACACTCCGCCTGTCCACGGCACTTGACGTTTGACCGCTGGAACGTCTTCATCTTTCCATCGAAGACCTCGCCTCTCTTGACAGTATAGGGCGCTGAGAGGTATTCATTGCCCTGACTAGTGGGCCATGAGCCATCCGGCATTGGAGCTGCCTCGGCTCGCATGGAAGCTCCCGAAGTCACGGCGGCAGTCGTGGCAAACACAAGCGCGGCGAATGAGATGGTATTGACCATGGTTTGCAGTAAAGTATTGCTCAGTTGCAAAGGACGTTCGCGGTCGGTCGGTCGGTCGTTTGCTGCGAAGAGCGTGGATTGAGTAATGAGTGATGAGTGTGCGGTTGATTTTCGGTGAACGCTGCCAGAGCTTCCGGGTCCAGCTAGAGCGTTCATCGAACAGTCAAGCGATGCCAAGAATGTAGAGCCACCACCACCATTTAGGTCTTGTCGTCGTGTACACTTGCAATGACCAGCTCATGACAGACGCGCAACCTACAGCTGATATATGAATACCTCGGAGAGATTCTACAAGGAGTCGATAGGGTCGGTGTTGTAAGTGCATGATGCACTGGATTCGACTCCAGAGATTCGACCCATGATAGGGTATGTCTAGAATGTTCTTTAGGGTTCTATGCATTATTATAGGTCGTACGGCAGCTAGACGTATGGATAGTTCTCACTTGTAGATTGACAAACCACTGATGAGGCCCCCGGCGGGGGGCCGAAACGCGTCTGGTGCGCGGTAATATACAAGTCATTTACTTTACTTAACTCTTACTTCTTACAGGTTATGAGCCCAAGTGCTCGCTACAGACACCTCACCAAGGACCAACTTGTGCGAGGGACACCCCGTCAGAGAAGGCGCTCGATGCACGAGTAAGGCGCCGAAGAATTCATCGACAGGGATCGTTGACGGTGCGCGTGCAGTCGAAAAGGGTTTGTGCAAGGGTGGTGACGCGAGATGGTCTGAATGCGCGAGTGCTATCGAAGGAAGAGTCAAGTCAAGTGGTGACAAGTGTATTTGTGGTCAAGAAGAAGTGGAAACTACATGCAAGGCGAACGACGACTACGAGATGTCAAGATGTGACATGGTGCTGGACGATGGGGGAGCTGGAATACCTGGAACGCTCGGTATCATCGAGGTTGGCTGGAGCGCAGGGGCAAGACTCAATCAAGATTCCCATGGTGCACGGATGCAGCAGTGAGGATTACAGGCGGGTCGATACCAAAGTGGTCTGCATCTCATGTCGTCGAGGGGGAGTGTTGTAAGTGCATGATGCACTGGATTCGACTCCAGAGATTCGACCCATGATAGGGTATGTCTAGAATGTTCTTTAGGGTTCTATGCATTATTATAGGTCGTACGGCAGCTAGACGTATGGATAGTTCTCACTTGTAGATTGACAAACCACTGATGAGGCCCCCGGCGGGGGGCCGAAACGCGTCTGGTGCGCGGTAATATACAAGTCATTTACTTTACTTAACTCTTACTTCTTACAGTCGGCAAGCACAGAGATGACCACACACATCGGTAGCAGCTTGTATAGCTTTTACCAGATGCTAGCTAATGACACCTTCTATAGCATTACCAGATGCTAGCTAATGACACCGTGGATGAATTGACGCTCGCTATAGTAGCATCGGACTTGGCAGTATTGGCTGTAGCGCATCAATGTCTAAGGTCGTATGCTATGTTTTGGTGTGTCGAACCACGGGCTTGTCCGAAACGATCTGCAAACAGTTAGAACCCCGTGCGCCGTGGAAGAATTTTCATCTGCGACCTGGAGGGACACGAAGCAGGTGTTGTCTACAGTGCACGATCGAGAGGTTGCTCCGAGTGGAAAAGCGCAAGTGTCACCATGTGCACTACAAACACTGCATATGTTGGTCGTACACCCAATGTAATGAAGACGGTTTTCTCTGTTGTGCCGTGCGTTCGTTGTGTAATCTCATACGTACATCCACAGATCAACTGCACAGTGGAGGTGCTCGTGCTTTCATAACGGACGGAAACCTAGCACACTGTAATAACACACGCACTCGCTGTAAAGTACGTATCCTTGCAATGCGGCATATGTAGCAGGGTGACCGGAGCTTACAATCTCAACGTGTTTTGCTTCATATGTGTTGGGGTAGTTGGATGTAAAAGCCGAAGTGAATACATTTAAGGTCCTTAGTTCACTACCCTTAGCTAAGTCTAAGCCTTAATGTAACGACATCCTGTGATCTCATCATGTAACCGCGATCCATAACCTTCTTCCGTAATAACCACCATGAAACACCCTGACACTGAAATCATCACCATGAACCCAACATGAAACGACTGCACGAAGCGGCGTATTCTCAACACTCCCACTCGCCGCTACTGCTTGGTTTCTTTGCACTGGATACTGTTTGCATCGCGCAGGAACTTGAACGTCTTGGATCCTAGCGCCTTGGTCAGTATGTCGGCTAATTGATGTTTGGTGTCCACATACGCTACCGCAACAGGTATTGTTCCGTTTATGAGAGAGCAGTTCAGCATCCATGGCTTCACGCCACTGTGTTGAATCTTCACTGGCAATTGCCTGAGCGTATGTTGTAGGAAGATCCACTGTGTCAATGCTTGCTGCGTACGCGAGGACGGCTTCAGCAATAAGGCCGTCTTCATCGATCCTGGCACGCTTCGGATAGGACGGTCCATCTCTTCCTTCCGACTTCCGTTCTTCCTCTGCGTCCGTTCCCTCTTCAAGAAGGAAGACTGGTTCCCGGGAACTTCTAAAACGGTCTCTAGGGGTATGGAACACCACTTGATCGTCCTCGAAGATAGTCGGTGGTCCACGGTACGGTTCCAACTCAAATCCAGTGGGAGCTGACCGTTCTTGTGGCATCAGCAGCGGCGGTATAGCGTCCTGTATAGGTTGCATGCTCTCCATCTCTACATCCGGTGCGTCGTTCTCAACGCCTTCCATGGGTTTCGCTTCGACGGGTTGAAGTTCCACTGGTGCGAGCGTGACTTCATCATCGGCGTCTGTGCTAACATGAATAACTGTTTCGATCTGAGCAGGTAGTGTATCGTAAATACCATCTACCTCACGCTCGTCCAATTTCACCGAGCGAGAAACTTTGACCTTGGAAGCGTCCAAGTCATAGACACGGTAACCCTTGACGTTTTCTGGGTATCCGAGCAGCAGACATCTAAAGCTCTTAGGTTCAAGCTTCGTCCTCTTCGCTTCGTCAATGTGAGCGTACCCGCGAGAACCAAATACGCGTAGGTGATCTAGCGTAGGTTTCACTTTGAAACCTAGCTCAAACGGTGTTACGGTTGCGTTGTGCGTGTTCGTGGAACGGTTGATTAGATATACCGCAGTACTAACTGCTTCAGCCCACCACTCCATTGGAACGCCCTTGTAGTATAGCATACTTCGAGATCTCTCCATGATAGTTCGGTTCATCCGTTCTGCCACTCCATTCTGCTGAGGGCTATACGGGACAGTCCGTTGGTGCACGATACCGTTCAGCATACATATCTTCGTCATCTCTTGGTTGACAAACTCCGTTCCGTTATCCGATCGTAAACACTTCATGCGCTCTCCCCATTGATTCTCATAGAAAGTCATGAACTCTCTAAGCTTGATGGCCACCTCGCTCTTCTTTTTCAAGAAATAGGCCACAACGTAGCGCGAGTAGTCGTCCACGAACGTCAGGACATACTTGGCACCACCTTTCGAAGGATTATTCATTGGTCCCATCATATCCGTGTGGAAGAGCTCAAGAACGCGCGACGTCTTCGAGCTGGAACAATGCGGAAATTTAGCCACCGTTTGCTTCCCCTTCATGCATCCGCCGCACAAAGACTGGGGCGGTTGACCAACAGCCGGAATACCGTTCGTGGCATGCCTTGTCTTATCCAGAGCATCCTGGTTGGGATGCCCCAGGCGAGCGTGCCAAAGCTCCCACTTGCTGTCAGCCCTGGCGTACTGGACGAACCGAGCTTCTTCTTGTTCACAGTCTAACATGTAAGCCTTGCCGACCTTCTTACCCTTCGCAATTGCGCTAGCCGCTCCCCATATAACACATGAGGAACGCTGAAACTCCACGTTCAGTACACGATCCGCGAGCTTCCCCACTGACAACAGACGCCGATCGAGGCCCGGTATGTGAAGAACTTCAACCATCTTAATCCGTTTACCGTCCAGTCCAAGCAAGCGTACCGTACCACGTCCAGTGACCTGCAGCTTCTTTCCGTCAGCGATTGTTACTTCGATGCCACCATTCACGTTCTCATACTCGAACAGATCGGAACGGTGCGGGGTCATGTGGGCGGTCGCGCCGCTGTCGATCAACCATCCGTTTACACGTTCTGTGCTCACAACAAATACCGCATCGCCGTCTGTTGTTCCCTCTTGACAGTCCCGCTTCATGTGCCCAACTTTGTTGCACTTGAAACACTTGCCTTGGAAACCACTAGAGTTCTTCTTCTGATCGCTCCACTTGCGACCACTCCTCTTGTTGCCCTTGAAACGTCCAGCGTTGACCTTAAATGCTCGTTCCGAAGTCGTGTCTTTCTTCTCCAACCGTTCACACTCCTTCAACAGCTTCTCTTTCACCTCGATGAGCGTGATGTCCTTGACGTTCTCGACGATCGACGATATCAGCTCGTATTCGGCTGGAAGGCTGCTCAGCAGCACTACTAGCTGCCGTGCCTCGTCGACGGGCTCTCCAAGCGTCTGAAGACCGACAACGAGCTCGACGAAAGCGTCCAAATGCTTTGCCATGGCCGTTCCAGCATCCATCTTGAATTCGTGGAGGCGCCGTGTCATCGTGACCCGATTGTGGAGTGTAGTGCGATTGTAGAACACCCTAAGTGTTACCCACGCTTGAATAGCACGCGTCGACGAACGGATCTTTGTCTGGTGTTGTAGTTCCACACCCTGCGCGATGATGCCGAGAGCCTTTGCGTCATTTACTAACCAAGCTTCCGTTATCTCACTCTCCGCCTTGACCACCTCCACGTGCGCCAGCAGTCCTTTTCTGGCGAGCGACATCCTCATATTGAACTCCCAATGGAAATAATTTCCACTTCCTAGGAGGACTTCGGCGCGCTTGGTACTCATCATGTGCGATCCGTGCGAGGCGAGGCGTTCTTGGTCTTGACGCCGCTGTCCGAGTTGCGGCTGTTAACCTGTTGGGGTAGTTGGATGTAAAAGCCGAAGTGAATACATTTAAGGTCCTTAGTTCACTACCCTTAGCTAAGTCTAAGCCTTAATGTAACGACATCCTGTGATCTCATCATGTAACCGCGATCCATAACCTTCTTCCGTAATAACCACCATGAAACACCCTGACACTGAAATCATCACCATGAACCCAACATGAAACGACTGCACGAAGCGGCGTATTCTCAACAATATGTAGCTCGAGGTCATTGCAGCCGTTCTCAAATAACTTTGAATAAGTTCTTTAAGCTTCTTTCGAACCGAGCGGGGGACGCGAACAGCGGACAGAGCAGCCGGCTTGGATGTAGAGTTGTAGGCCGCGTACCGTGCACGTGAACCAGTTGAACGTCACGTGATGCACGAACGGCCGTAGAATGCAGTACACAAACGTGATCTTAGGTCGACCATCGTTTGGGCAACGACGATTTATCGTGATCAGCAAGTGCAATCTGCACAGGAGGTAGTACTTGTTGTCGGTATTCAGGCGCCGTTACGGTTCATTCTGGCTACCAGCGATTTAAGCATACGTGCACACGCTGGATCCTTTCCTGCAAATACCGACAGCGTCGCCACGACATTGTGAAGCAAATAAATGTCCTTGGTCCACGCACCACATTCGTAAAATCAGAAAATAGGTGTGCTTGTGTGAAGGTAAGAAATCCGATGAGCACATGAGAACTGCCTGATTTACACGCGCTGCTTACAGCATTTGGTCTTGTACTCCCCCATGGCTCAGTACTGCACCGAATTACGCCTGTACCAGCAACCTCTTTGTTATCACACCATTATCCTGGACTTTGGAATGTAAAATCGACTTGGACGTTCGCTCATCACGATATTTACTCTGTAGGGACAGGCTTACTCTTAAACAAAAGCAATCGAAACTGAGGGTACTCATGCATGGTATGATGTGTAGTAGCCACGCGTAAGCTGTCGAAGGTGCTCGATCCGAAAATTTGAAGAGCACGAGCCAGTCCTTAGGATTGATATCGTCCGAGCCATTCTATTGTATCCTCCCTTTGCAAGAAACATGGTCAAAAAGCCTTGAAATGACCGCTTGACATGAAGAGCGCTGCCGCACTCGTTCACGAAGACGTGCCGACTTCGCGTTCAAACATTGACACAGCAGACAAAAAGAACTTATCGAGCATACGGATTATCCGTCAGATCTTTATTCAATATGATGCAAAACTACAACGACACTACAACAGCACTACAGCAACCACCACAACAACGCTTACGACATACACACCCCATACTAGCACATTCTATCACACATAGGTGATGGTATTAGGTGAGTAGCTGCAGCCACTTCCCGACGGGCCCACACCAGACTTTCTCGGCTCACCTCCAGCCCCCGTTCCATCCGACCAAGAACACACGTCGACCTTCTTGCCCTTGATCTTGATGTTCTCAATTGTGGCACGGTCACTCTTGTTCTTTGTCAGGATACTCACGCGACCATTGACGGCAAATACGTTCTTGATGCTGATGCTGACACCCTTGTCGCCACACGTCCCGCATGAGCGGAAGAGCTTTCCAAAGTCCTGCACGTAGAAGCCCTCAATGGACACGGATCCGTATCCGTTGTGCTGCACCACTTTGTCAGCGGCCGAGCGTGCACCGCCACCAACCACTCTTGTCATGCTGCTTGCAGAGCCGCCCTTGATGCTCAGCGCATCCTCGCACACGTCATTCCACCACACGTTCTGGACAAGGCAATCACCATGCTCGCAGTGCACCCCCTCCATTTGATCCGTACCGATGATCACGTTCTTGAGTGTACCGCCGGCCTGGATAACGAACACGGCAGTTTGCCATCCACTCTCCGCCTGTCCACGGCACTTGACGTTTGACCGCTGGAACGTCTTCATCTTTCCATCGAAGACCTCGCCTCTCTTGACCGTGTAGGGCGCTGAGAGGTATTCATTGCCCTGACTAGTGGGCCATGAGCCATCCGGCATTGGAGCTGCCTCGGCTCGCATGGAAGCTCCCGAAGTCACGGCGGCAGTCGTGGCAAACACAAGCGCGGCGAATGAGATGGTATTGACCATGGTTTGCAGTAAAGTATTGCTCAGTTGCAAAGGACGTTCGCGGTCGGTCGGTCGGTCGTTTGCTGCGAAGAGCGTGGATTGAGTAATGAGTGATGAGTGTGCGGTTGATTTTCGGTGAACGCTGCCAGAGCTTCCGGGTCCAGCTAGAGCGTTCATCGAACAGTCAAGCGATGCCAAGAATGTAGAGCCACCACCACCATTTAGGTCTTGCCGTCGTGTACACTTGCAATGACCAGCTCATGACAGACGCGCAACCTACAGCTGATATATGAATACCTCGGAGAGATTCTACAAGGAGTCGATAGGGTCGGCAAGCACAGAGATGACCACACACATCGGTAGCAGCTTGTATAGCTTTTACCAGATGCTAGCTAATGACACCTTCTATAGCATTACCAGATGCTAGCTAATGACACCGTGGATGAATTGACGCTCGCTATAGTAGCATCGGACTTGGCAGTATTGGCTTTAGCGCATCAATGTCTAAGGTCGTATGCTATGTTTTGGTGTGTCGAACCACGGGCTTGTCCGAAACGATCTGCAAACAGTTAGAACCCCGTGCGCCGTGGAAGAATTTTCATCTGCGACCTGGAGGGACACGAAGCAGGTGTTGTCTACAGTGCACGATCGAGAGGTTGCTCCGAGTGGAAAAGCGCAAGTGTCACCATGTGCACTACAAACACTGCATCTGTTGGTCGTACACCCAATGTAATGAAGATGGTTTTCTCTGTTGTGCCGTGCGTTTGTTGTGTAATCTCATACGTACATCCACAGATCAACTGCACAGTGGAGGTGCTCGTGCTTTCATAACGGACGGAAACCTAGCACACTGTAATAACACACGCACTCGCTGTAAAGTACGTATCCTTGCAATGCGGCATATGTAGCAGGGTGACCGGAGCTTACAATCTCAACGTGTTTTGCTTCATATGTAGCTCGAGGTCATTGCAGCCGTTCTCAAATAACTTTGAATAAGTTCATTAAGCTTCTTTCGAACCGAGCGGGGGACGCGAACAGCGGACATAGCAGCCGGCTTGGATGTAGAGTTGTAGGCCGCGTACCGTGCACGTGAACCAGTTGAACGTCACGTGATGCACGAACGGCCGTAGAATGCAGTACACAAACGTGATCTTAGGTCGACCATCGTTTGGGCAACGACGATTTATCGTGATCAGCAAGTGCAATCTGCACAGGAGGTAGTACTTGTTGTCGGTATTCAGGCGCCGTTACGGTTCATTCTGGCTACCAGCGATTTAAGCATACGTGCACACGCTGGATCCTTTCCTGCAAATACCGACAGCGTCGCCACGACATTGTGAAGCAAATAAATGTCGCTGGTCCATGCACCACATACATAAAATCAGAAAATAGGTGTGCTTGTGTGAAGGTAAGAAATCCGATGAGCACATGAGAACTGCCTGATTTACACGCGCTGCTTACAGCATTTGGTCTTGTACTCCCCCATGGCTCAGTACTGCACCGAATTACGCCTGTACCGAGCAACCTCTTTGTTTTCACACCATTATCCTGGACTTTGGAATGTAAAATCGACTTGGACGTTCGCTCATCACGATATTTACTCTGTAGGGACAGGCTTACTCTTAAACAAAAGCAATCGAAACTGAGGGTACTCATGCATGGTATGATGTGTAGTAGCCACGCGTAAGCTGTCGAAGGTGCTCGATCCGAAAATTTGAAGAGCACGAGCCAGTCCTTAGGATTGATATCGTCCGAGCCATTCTATTGTATCCTCCCTTTGCAAGAAACATGGTCAAAAAGCCTTGAAATGACCGCTTGACATGAAGAGCGCTGCCGCACTCGTTCACGAAGACGTGCCGACTTCGCGTTCAAACATTGACACAGCAGACAAAAAGAACTTATCGAGCATACGGATTATCCGTCAGATCTTTATTCAATATGATGCAAAACTACAACGACACTACAACAGCACTACAGCAACCACCACAACAACGCTTACGACATACACACCCCATACTAGCACATTCTATCACACATAGGTGATGGTATTAGGTGAGTAGCTGCAGCCACTTCCCGACGGGCCCACACCAGACTTTCTCGGCTCACCTCCAGCCCCCCGTTCCATCCGACCAAGAACACACGTCGACCTTCTTGCCCTTGATCTTGATGTTCTCAATTGTGGCACGGTCGCTCTTGTTCTTTGTCAGGATACTCACGCGACCATTGACGGCAAATACGTTCTTGATGCTGATGCTGACACCCTTGTCGCCACACGTCCCGCATGAGCGGAAGAGCTTTCCAAAGTCCTGCACGTAGAAGCCCTCAATGGACACGGATCCGTATCCGTTGTGCTGCACCACTTTGTCAGCGGCCGAGCGTGCACCGCCACCAACCACTCTTGTCATGCTGCTTGCAGAGCCGCCCTTGATGCTCAGCGCATCCTCGCACACGTCATTCCACCACACGTTCTGGACAAGGCAATCACCATGCTCGCAGTGCACCCCCTCCATTTGATCCGTACCGATGATCACGTTCTTGAGTGTACCGCCGGCCTGGATAACGAACACGGCAGTTTGCCATCCACTCTCCGCCTGTCCACGGCACTTGACGTTTGACCGCTGGAACGTCTTCATCTTTCCATCGAAGACCTCGCCTCTCTTGACAGTATAGGGCGCTGAGAGGTATTCATTGCCCTGACTAGTGGGCCATGAGCCATCCGGCATTGGAGCTGCCTCGGCTCGCATGGAAGCTCCCGAAGTCACGGCGGCAGTCGTGGCAAACACAAGCGCGGCGAATGAGATGGTATTGACCATGGTTTGCAGTAAAGTATTGCTCAGTTGCAAAGGACGTTCGCGGTCGGTCGGTCGGTCGTTTGCTGCGAAGAGCGTGGATTGAGTAATGAGTGATGAGTGTGCGGTTGATTTTCGGTGAACGCTGCCAGAGCTTCCGGGTCCAGCTAGAGCGTTCATCGAACAGTCAAGCGATGCCAAGAATGTAGAGCCACCACCACCATTTAGGTCTTGTCGTCGTGTACACTTGCAATGACCAGCTCATGACAGACGCGCAACCTACAGCTGATATATGAATACCTCGGAGAGATTCTACAAGGAGTCGATAGGGTCGGCAAGCACAGATGACCACACACATCGGTAGCAGCTTGTATAGCTTTTACCAGATGCTAGCTAATGACACCTTCTATAGCATTACCAGATGCTAGCTAATGACACCGTGGATGAATTGACGCTCGCTATAGTAGCATCGGACTTGGCAGTATTGGCTTTAGCGCATCAATGTCTAAGGTCGTATGCTATGTTTTGGTGTGTCGAACCACGGGCTTGTCCGAAACGATCTGCAAACAGTTAGAACCCCGTGCGCCGTGGAAGAATTTTCATCTGCGACCTGGAGGGACACGAAGCAGGTGTTGTCTACAGTGCACGATCGAGAGGTTGCTCCGAGTGGAAAAGCGCAAGTGCCACCATGTGCACTACAAACACTGCATCTGTTGGTCGTACACCCAATGTAATGAAGATGGTTTTCTCTGTTGTGCCGTGCGTTTGTTGTGTAATCTCATACGTACATCCACAGATCAACTGCACAGTGGAGGTGCTCGTGCTTTCATAACGGACGGAAACCTAGCACACTGTAATAACACACGCACTCGCTGTAAAGTACGTATCCTTGCAATGCGGCATATGTAGCAGGGTGACCGGAGCTTACAATCTCAACGTGTTTTGCTTCATATGTGTTGGGGTAGTTGGATGTAAAAGCCGAAGTGAATACATTTAAGGTCCTTAGTTCACTACCCTTAGCTAAGTCTAAGCCTTAATGTAACGACATCCTGTGATCTCATCATGTAACCGCGATCCATAACCTTCTTCCGTAATAACCACCATGAAACACCCTGACACTGAAATCATCACCATGAACCCAACATGAAACGACTGCACGAAGCGGCGTATTCTCAACACTCCCACTCGCCGCTACTGCTTGGTTTCTTTGCACTGGATACTGTTTGCATCGCGCACGAACTTGAACGTCTTGGATCCTAGCGCCTTGGTCAGTATGTCGGCTAATTGATGTTTGGTGTCCACATACGCTACCCAACAGGTATTGTTCCGTTTATGAGAGAGCAGTTCAGCATCCATGGCTTCACGCCACTGTGTTGAATCTTCACTGGCAATTGCCTGAGCGTATGTTGTAGGAAGATCCACTGTGTCAATGCTTGCTGCGTACGCGAGGACGGCTTCAGCAATAAGGCCGTCTTCATCGATCCTGGCACGCTTCGGATAGGACGGTCCATCTCTTCCTTCCGACTTCCGTTCTTCCTCTGCGTCCGTTCCCTCTTCAAGAAGGAAGACTGGTTCCCGGGAACTTCTAAAACGGTCTCTAGGGGTATGGAACACCACTTGATCGTCCTCGAAGATAGTCGGTGGTCCACGGTACGGTTCCAACTCAAATCCAGTGGGAGCTGACCGTTCTTGTGGCATCAGCAGCGGCGGTATAGCGTCCTGTATAGGTTGCATGCTCTCCATCTCTACATCCGGTGCGTCGTTCTCAACGCCTTCCATGGGTTTCGCTTCGACGGGTTGAAGTTCCACTGGTGCGAGCGTGACTTCATCATCGGCGTCTGTGCTAACATGAATAACTGTTTCGATCTGAGCAGGTAGTGTATCGTAAATACCATCTACCTCACGCTCGTCCAATTTCACCGAGCGAGAAACTTTGACCTTGGAAGCGTCCAAGTCATAGACACGGTAACCCTTGACGTTTTCTGGGTATCCGAGCAGCAGACATCTAAAGCTCTTAGGTTCAAGCTTCGTCCTCTTCGCTTCGTCAATGTGAGCGTACCCGCGAGAACCAAATACGCGTAGGTGATCTAGCGTAGGTTTCACTTTGAAACCTAGCTCAAACGGTGTTACGGTTGCGTTGTGCGTGTTCGTGGAACGGTTGATTAGATATACCGCAGTACTAACTGCTTCAGCCCACCACTCCATTGGAACGCCCTTGTAGTATAGCATACTTCGAGATCTCTCCATGATAGTTCGGTTCATCCGTTCTGCCACTCCATTCTGCTGAGGGCTATACGGGACAGTCCGTTGGTGCACGATACCGTTCAGCATACATATCTTCGTCATCTCTTGGTTGACAAACTCCGTTCCGTTATCCGATCGTAAACACTTCATGCGCTCTCCCCATTGATTCTCATAGAAAGTCATGAACTCTCTAAGCTTGATGGCCACCTCGCTCTTCTTTTTCAAGAAATAGGCCACAACGTAGCGCGAGTAGTCGTCCACGAACGTCAGGACATACTTGGCACCACCTTTCGAAGGATTATTCATTGGTCCCATCATATCCGTGTGGAAGAGCTCAAGAACGCGCGACGTCTTCGAGCTGGAACAATGCGGAAATTTAGCCACCGTTTGCTTCCCCTTCATGCATCCGCCGCACAAAGACTGGGGCGGTTGACCAACAGCCGGAATACCGTTCGTGGCATGCCTTGTCTTATCCAGAGCATCCTGGTTGGGATGCCCCAGGCGAGCGTGCCAAAGCTCCCACTTGCTGTCAGCCCCGGCGTACTGGACGAACCGAGCTTCTTCTTGTTCACAGTCTAACATGTAAGCCTTGACGATCTTCTTACCCTTCGCAATTGCGCTAGCCGCTCCCCATATAACACATGAGGAACGCTGAAACTCCACGTTCAGTACACGATCCGCGAGCTTCCCCACTGACAACAGACGCCGATCGAGGCCCGGTATGTGAAGAACTTCAACCATCTTAATCCGTTTACCGTCCAGTCCAAGCAAGCGTACCGTACCACGTCCAGTGACCTGCAGCTTCTTTCCGTCAGCGATTGTTACTTCGATGCCACCATTCACGTTCTCATACTCGAACAGATCGGAACGGTGCGGGGTCATGTGGGCGGTCGCGCCGCTGTCGATCAACCATCCGTTTACACGTTCTGTGCTCACAACAAATACCGCATCGCCGTCTGTTGTTCCCTCTTGACAGTCCCGCTTCATGTGCCCAACTTTGTTGCACTTGAAACACTTGCCTTGGAAACCACTAGAGTTCTTCTTCTGATCGCTCCACTTGCGACCACTCCTCTTGTTGCCCTTGAAACGTCCAGCGTTGACCTTAAATGCTCGTTCCGAAGTCGTGTCTTTCTTCTCCAACCGTTCACACTCCTTCAACAGCTTCTCTTTCACCTCGATGAGCGTGATGTCCTTGACGTTCTCGACGATCGACGATATCAGCTCGTATTCGGCTGGGAGGCTGCTCAGCAGCACTACTAGCTGCCGTGCCTCGTCGACGGCTCTCCAAGCGTCTGAAGACCGACAACGAGCTCGACGAAAGCGTCCAAATGCTTTGCCATGGCCGTTCCAGCATCCATCTTGAATTCGTGGAGGCGCCGTGTCATCGTGACCCGATTGTGGAGTGTAGTGCGATTGTAGAACACCCTAAGTGTTACCCACGCTTGAATAGCACACGTCGACGAACGGATCTTTGTCTGGTGTTGTAGTTCCACACCCTGCGCGATGATGCCGAGAGCCTTTGCGTCATTTACTAACCAAGCTTCCGTTATCTCACTCTCCGCCTTGACCACCTCCACGTGCGCCAGCAGTCCTTTTCTGGCGAGCGACATCCTCATATTGAACTCCCAATGGAAATAATTTCCACTTCCTAGGAGGACTTCGGCGCGCTTGGTACTCATCATGTGCGATCCGTGCGAGGCGAGGCGTTCTTGGTCTTGACGCCGCTGTCCGAGTTGCGGCTGTTAACCTGTTGGGGTAGTTGGATGTAAAAGCCGAAGTGAATACATTTAAGGTCCTTAGTTCACTACCCTTAGCTAAGTCTAAGCCTTAATGTAACGACATCCTGTGATCTCATCATGTAACCGCGATCCATAACCTTCTTCCGTAATAACCACCATGAAACACCCTGACACTGAAATCATCACCATGAACCCAACATGAAACGACTGCACGAAGCGGCGTATTCTCAACAATATGTAGCTCGAGGTCATTGCAGCCGTTCTCAAATAACTTTGAATAAGTTCTTTAAGCTTCTTTCGAACCGAGCGGGGGACGCGAACAGCGGACAGAGCAGCCGGCTTGGATGTAGAGTTGTAGGCCGCGTACCGTGCACGTGAACCAGTTGAACGTCACGTGATGCACGAACGGCCGTAGAATGCAGTACACAAACGTGATCTTAGGTCGACCATCGTTTGGGCAACGACGATTTATCGTGATCAGCAAGTGCAATCTGCACAGGAGGTAGTACTTGTTGTCGGTATTCAGGCGCCGTTACGGTTCATTCTGGCTACCAGCGATTTAAGCATACGTGCACACGCTGGATCCTTTCCTGCAAATACCGACAGCGTCGCCACGACATTGTGAAGCAAATAAATGTCCTTGGTCCATGCACCACATACATAAAATCAGAAAATAGGTGTGCTTGCGTAAAGGTAAGGAATCCGGTGAGCACATGAGAACTGCCTGATTTACACGCGCTGCTTACAGCATTTGGTCTTGTACTCCCCCATGGCTCAGTACTGCACCGAATTACGACTGTACCAGCAACCTCTTTGTTATCACACCATTATCCTGGACTTTGGAATGTAAAATCGACTTGGACGTTCGCTCATCACGATATTTACTCTGTAGGGACAGGCTTACTCTTAAACAAAAGCAATCGAAACCGAGGGTACTCATGCATGGTATGATGTGTAGTAGCCACGCGTAAGCTGTCGAAGGTGCTCGATCCGAAAATTTGAAGAGCACGAGCCAGTCCTTAGGATTGATATCGTCCGAGCCATTCTATTGTATCCTCCCTTTGCAAGAAACATGGTCAAAAAGCCTTGAAATGACCGCTTGACATGAAGAGCGCTGCCGCACTCGTTCACGAAGACGTGCCGACTTCGCGTTCAAACATTGACACAGCAGACAAAAAGAACTTATCGAGCATACGGATTATCCGTCAGATCTTTATTCAATATGATGCAAAACTACAACGACACTACAACAGCACTACAGCAACCACCACAACAACGCTTACGACATACACACCCCATACTAGCACATTCTATCACACATAGGTGATGGTATTAGGTGAGTAGCTGCAGCCACTTCCCGACGGGCCCACACCAGACTTTCTCGGCTCACCTCCAGCCCCCGTTCCATCTGACCAAGAACACACGTCGACCTTCTTGCCCTTGATCTTGATGTTCTCAATTGTGGCACGGTCACTCTTGTTCTTTGTCAGGATACTCACGCGACCATTGACGGCAAATACGTTCTTGATGCTGATGCTGACACCCTTGTCGCCACACGTCCCGCATGAGCGGAAGAGCTTTCCAAAGTCCTGCACGTAGAAGCCCTCAATGGACACGGATCCGTATCCGTTGTGCTGCACCACTTTGTCAGCGGCCGAGCGTGCACCGCCACCAACCACTCTTGTCATGCTGCTTGCAGAGCCGCCCTTGATGCTCAGCGCATCCTCGCACACGTCATTCCACCACACGTTCTGGACAAGGCAATCACCATGCTCGCAGTGCACCCCCTCCATTTGATCCGTACCGATGATCACGTTCTTGAGTGTACCGCCGGCCTGGATAACGAACACGGCAGTTTGCCATCCACTCTCCGCCTGTCCACGGCACTTGACGTTTGACCGCTGGAACGTCTTCATCTTTCCATCGAAGACCTCGCCTCTCTTGACCGTGTAGGGCGCTGAGAGGTATTCATTGCCCTGACTAGTGGGCCATGAGCCATCCGGCATTGGAGCTGCCTCGGCTCGCATGGAAGCTCCCGAAGTCACGGCGGCAGTCGTGGCAAACACAAGCGCGGCGAATGAGATGGTATTGACCATGGTTTGCAGTAAAGTATTGCTCAGTTGCAAAGGACGTTCGCGGTCGGTCGGTCGGTCGTTTGCTGCGAAGAGCGTGGATTGAGTAATGAGTGATGAGTGTGCGGTTGATTTTCGGTGAACGCTGCCAGAGCTTCCGGGTCCAGCTAGAGCGTTCATCGAACAGTCAAGCGATGCCAAGAATGTAGAGCCACCACCACCATTTAGGTCTTGCCGTCATGTACACTTGCAATGACCAGCTCATGACAGACGCGCAACCTACAGCTGATATATGAATACCTCGGAGAGATTCTACAAGGAGTCGATAGGGTCGGCAAGCACAGAGATGACCACACACATCGGTAGCAGCTTGTATAGCTTTTACCAGATGCTAGCTAATGACACCTTCTATAGCATTACCAGATGCTAGCTAATGACACCGTGGATGAATTGACGCTCGCTATAGTAGCATCGGACTTGGCAGTATTGGCTTTAGCGCATCAATGTCTAAGGTCGTATGCTATGTTTTGGTGTGTCGAACCACGGGCTTGTCCGAAACGATCTGCAAACAGTTAGAACCCCGTGCGCCGTGGAAGAATTTTCATCTGCGACCTGGAGGGACACGAAGCAGGTGTTGTCTACAGTGCACGATCGAGAGGTTGCTCCGAGTGGAAAAGCGCAAGTGTCACCATGTGCACTACAAACACTGCATCTGTTGGTCGTACACCCAATGTAATGAAGATGGTTTTCTCTGTTGTGCCGTGCGTTTGTTGTGTAATCTCATACGTACATCCACAGATCAACTGCACAGTGGAGGTGCTCGTGCTTTCATAACGGACGGAAACCTAGCACACTGTAATAACACACGCACTCGCTGTAAAGTACGTATCCTTCCCTCATGCGGCATATGTACAGGGTGACCGGAGCTTAAGCTAACAACTCAACGTGTTTTGCTTCATAGGTGTTGTGCTAGTTGGAAGATGAAAAAAGAAGGAATAAAATTTAAGGTCCTTAGTTCACCACCCCTAGTAAAAAAAAAGCCTTAATGTAACGACATCCTGTGATCTCATCATGTAACCGCGATCCATAACCTTCTTCCGTAATAACCACACGCACTCGCTGAAATACATAACCTTGCAATGCCCCACATGAAACAGACTGAACGAAGCGGCGTCAATCTCAACGTTCAATATGTAGCTCGAGGTCATTGCAGCCGTTCTCAAATAACTTTGAATAAGTTCTTTAAGCTTCTTTCGAACCGAGCGGGGGACGCGAACAGCGGACAGAGCAGCCGGCTTGGATGTAGAGTTGTAGGCCGCGTACCGTGCACGTGAACCAGTTGAACGTCACGTGATGCACGAACGGCCGTAGAATGCAGTACACAAACGTGATCTTAGGTCGACCATCGTTTGGGCAACGACGATTTATCGTGATCAGCAAGTGCAATCTGCACAGGAGGTAGTACTTGTTGTCGGTATTCAGGCGCCGTTACGGTTCATTCTGGCTACCAGCGATTTAAGCATACGTGCACACGCTGGATCCTTTCCTGCAAATACCGACAGCGTCGCCACGACATTGTGAAGCAAATAAATGTCCCTGGTCCACGCACCACATTTGTAGAATTAGAAAATAGGTGTGCTTGTGTGAAGGTAAGGAATCCGATGAGCACATGAGAACTGCCTGATTTACACGCGCTGCTTACAGCATTTGGTCTTGTACTCCCCCATGGCTCAGTACTGCACCGAATTACGCCTGTACCGAGCAACCTCTTTGTTTTCACACCATTATCCTGGACTTTGGAATGTAAAATCGACTTGGACGTTCGCTCATCACGATATTTACTCTGTAGGGACAGGCTTACTCTTAAACAAAAGCAATCGAAACTGAGGGTACTCATGCATGGTATGATGTGTAGTAGCCACGCGTAAGCTGTCGAAGGTGCTCGATCCGAAAATTTGAAGAGCACGAGCCAGTCCTTAGGATTGATATCGTCCGAGCCATTCTATTGTATCCTCCCTTTGCAAGAAACATGGTCAAAAAGCCTTGAAATGACCGCTTGACATGAAGAGCGCTGCCGCACTCGTTCACGAAGACGTGCCGACTTCGCGTTCAAACATTGACACAGCAGACAAAAAGAACTTATCGAGCATACGGATTATCCGTCAGATCTTTATTCAATATGATGCAAAAACTACAACGACACTACAACAGCACTACAGCAACCACCACAACAACGCTTACGACATACACACCCCATACTAGCACATTCTATCACACATAGGTGATGGTATTAGGTGAGTAGCTGCAGCCACTTCCCGACGGGCCCACACCAGACTTTCTCGGCTCACCTCCAGCCCCCGTTCCATCCGACCAAGAACACACGTCGACCTTCTTGCCCTTGATCTTGATGTTCTCAATTGTGGCACGGTCACTCTTGTTCTTTGTCAGGATACTCACGCGACCATTGACGGCAAATACGTTCTTGATGCTGATGCTGACACCCTTGTCGCCACACGTCCCGCATGAGCGGAAGAGCTTTCCAAAGTCCTGCACGTAGAAGCCCTCAATGGACACGGATCCGTATCCGTTGTGCTGCACCACTTTGTCAGCGGCCGAGCGTGCACCGCCACCAACCACTCTTGTCATGCTGCTTGCAGAGCCGCCCTTGATGCTCAGCGCATCCTCGCACACGTCATTCCACCACACGTTCTGGACAAGGCAATCACCATGCTCGCAGTGCACCCCTCCATTTGATCCGTACCGATGATCACGTTCTTGAGTGTACCGCCGGCCTGGATAACGAACACGGCAGTTTGCCATCCACTCTCCGCCTGTCCACGGCACTTGACGTTTGACCGCTGGAACGTCTTCATCTTTCCATCGAAGACCTCGCCTCTCTTGACCGTGTAGGGCGCTGAGAGGTATTCATTGCCCTGACTAGTGGGCCATGAGCCATCCGGCATTGGAGCTGCCTCGGCTCGCATGGAAGCTCCCGAAGTCACGGCGGCAGTCGTGGCAAACACAAGCGCGGCGAATGAGATGGTATTGACCATGGTTTGCAGTAAAGTATTGCTCAGTTGCAAAGGACGTTCGCGGTCGGTCGGTCGGTCGTTTGCTGCGAAGAGCGTGGATTGAGTAATGAGTGATGAGTGTGCGGTTGATTTTCGGTGAACGCTGCCAGAGCTTCCGGGTCCAGCTAGAGCGTTCATCGAACAGTCAAGCGATGCCAAGAATGTAGAGCCACCACCACCATTTAGGTCTTGCCGTCGTGTACACTTGCAATGACCAGCTCATGACAGACGCGCAACCTACAGCTGATATATGAATACCTCGGAGAGATTCTACAAGGAGTCGATAGGGTCGGCAAGCACAGAGATGACCACACACATCGGTAGCAGCTTGTATAGCTTTTACCAGATGCTAGCTAATGACACCTTCTATAGCATTACCAGATGCTAGCTAATGACACCGTGGATGAATTGACGCTCGCTATAGTAGCATCGGACTTGGCAGTATTGGCTTTAGCGCATCAATGTCTAAGGTCGTATGCTATGTTTTGGTGTGTCGAACCACGGGCTTGTCCGAAACGATCTGCAAACAGTTAGAACCCCGTGCGCCGTGGAAGAATTTTCATCTGCGACCTGGAGGGACACGAAGCAGGTGTTGTCTACAGTGCACGATCGAGAGGTTGCTCCGAGTGGAAAAGCGCAAGTGTCACCATGTGCACTACAAACACTGCATCTGTTGGTCGTACACCCAATGTAATGAAGATGGTTTTCTCTGTTGTGCCGTGCGTTTGTTGTGTAATCTCATACGTACATCCACAGATCAACTGCACAGTGGAGGTGCTCGTGCTTTCATAACGGACGGAAACCTAGCACACTGTAATAACACACGCACTCGCTGTAAAGTACGTATCCTTGCAATGCGGCATATGTAGCAGGGTGACCGGAGCTTACAATCTCAACGTGTTTTGCTTCATATGTAGCTCGAGGTCATTGCAGCCGTTCTCAAATAACTTTGAATAAGTTCATTAAGCTTCTTTCGAACCGAGCGGGGGACGCGAACAGCGGACATAGCAGCCGGCTTGGATGTAGAGTTGTAGGCCGCGTACCGTGCACGTGAACAAGTTGAACGTCACGTGATGCACGAACGGCCGTAGAATGCAGTACACAAACGTGATCTTAGGTCGATCATCGTTGGGGCAACGACGATTTATCGTGATCAGCAAGCGCAATCTGCACAGGAGGTAGTGCTTGTTGTCGGTATTCAGGCGCCGTTACGGTTCATTCTGGCTACCAGCGATTTAAGCATACGTGCACACGCTGGATCCTTTCCTGCAAAATACCGACAGCGTCGCCACGACATTGTGAAGCAAATAAATGTCGCTGGTCCATGCACCACATACATAAAATCAGAAACTAGGTGTGCTTGCGTAAAGGTAAGAATCCGGTGAGCACATGAGAACTGCCTGATTTACACGCGCTGCTTACAGCATTTGGTCTTGTACTCCCCCATGGCTCAGTACTGCACCGAATTACGACTGTACCAGCAACCTCTTTGTTATCACACCATTATCCTGGACTTTGGAATGTAAAATCGACTTGGACGTTCGCTCATCACGATATTTACTCTGTAGGGACAGGCTTACTCTTAAACAAAAGCAATCGAAACCGAGGGTACTCATGCATGGTATGATGTGTAGTAGCCACGCGTAAGCTGTCGAAGGTGCTCGATCCGAAAATTTGAAGAGCACGAGCCAGTCCCTTAGGATTGATATCGTCCGAGCCATTCTATTGTATCCTCCCTTTGCAAGAAACATGGTCAAAAAGCCTTGAAATGACGGTTTGACATGAAGAGCGCTGGACGGCACTCGATCACGAAGACGTGCTGACTTCGCGTTCAAACATTGACACAGCAGACAAAAAGAACTTATCGAGTATACGGATTATCCGGGCAGATCTTTATCCTAATATGATGCAAAACTACAACGACACTACAACAGCACTACAGCAACTACACAATAACAAAGCGCGCTTACGTGACATCCACACACCCCATACTAGCACATTCTATCACACATAGGTGATGGTATTAGGTGAGTAGCTGCAGC